ACACCAGAAAGCTAGTAAACGCGACAAAATTGCAATTCAAACATAGTCTAATCGAGATATGATTGCCACCAAAATGCAAGAGCATGCCTATTTGCATTTCTTTTATGGCATCTTCCAGTATGCATATGCAGTGCCTCTATAGGATGATGCAGACAATTGAAGCAGAAACGAACCCTGTCTTAAACGCTCTTTTCATTTCAGGCAAACCTGCATACAAGTTGGGGCACAAAATCGGTACAAAAATTATATCCTGTCGTATGCAGGCTGTACATGCATGAGATACACATATTTACTAGTCTAACTTTGTCAGAACCAGAGTTAAGCAAAAGGGAGCACAAGTCCTTCAAGATCCCGCCTCTTTTTCTGGAAAGCCCCGAACGATCCTTCCTCCTCTTCACCTCCAGAACTCATGTGACATTCCGGGGAACAACAGTTTGTCCTAAAAAGTTTTTGAATTTTATGAGACTGTAGGATCTTTTTTCTGTGATTCATTACAACGCAATTCGACGGCTGATTTTGATGTAGATGGACCTATTGAAAGAGCCAGAATTTTCCCAGGAGTGGGGTGGTTTACTCCAAATTTTCGCTATGGCAAGAAGAGGCTATGAGCTCAATACTTATACCAGGAAAGAACTGATTTTCGAATTTTGAAGACAAGTCAAAGGGGTCAGGCACAAGGTTACAAACGCTCGGGCAGCCTGGTTTGAGAGGTTCAAAGACAGCGTCCTACCAGATTGGGGCTACTGGCTCTGATATTAATGCAATAGTAGACCCCCTAACTAACGACGACAGAAGTTTGCAGCTCGAAAGGGGGTCTACGATGTTTCGAAATCGCCCCCCAAGTGGCCGAATCTTACGGTAGGCTCGGGCGAGTACGAGAGTATGCAAGGTAGAGACGCATAGTCGTTGTGGGACCCTGCACTCATGGCTGTGAGCACTATGCGTGCTCTGACCCTGCAGTTCGAAATTGACCTGTGGGGTGCGTTCGGGCCTACCGTAAGATTCGGGCTACTTGGGAGGCGATCTGTAGACTGCATAGACCCCTTTCGCGCTGCAATCTTCTGTCGTCGCTTAGTTAAGGGGTCTACTATTGCAATAATACTAGAGCCACGTACCACCCAATCTGGTGGGATGCTGCCTTTAAGGCCTCGGACAGAGTTCACCCGCGATTTTCATTCATTTTCATCTTATATTCAAAAATTTTGAGCTGGAAAAGTATCACAACCGAAATGCAAGCTGATCGGCATGCAATGAACTCGTAATGTTGTCTTGTGGCGTTTGAATAGCAACGATCAAATCGCGTGAACTCTGTCCGAGGTCTAAGGGTTGTGCCTGACCCCATTAAATTTATCTCCGACGAAACTTTTCCACCCAAATTCTATGTGATTCACTAGCACAAAGCTCGAAGATACTAGTGTAGATGCTATAGGTGTTTGGACTTACTTGGACTTGTTTTGGCCTTGCGGTGATCCCTGGAGTTGAAGCATTAAGGTGAAATTCGCTATACTAATTCAGAAAGATATATGGAGTCTAATTTCTAGCAAAGACTGACGGAGAATATTCCTTTGTTGGGAGTATAAAAAAAGCTGAATTCTTTCGCTTCTGAAAGCAATTATGAAAATCGCTCTTTCTAGACTAGTGGAAACATTGGCCCACAATGGCCGATTTGATGGGAGGTTCGTTCTAGTTTGGCAAGGAGGAAACAAGGCGACGTTGCTCGTGTTATGAATGTCTCAAGACAGCTCGTCTCTAAAACTTTATAATTTCTGACACGGCGTTTATAGACACTCTTCAAGTTCTTCCAGCTGCTTATCTTCATAAGCCGAATTTTTTTTGTCCTGGAAGCCTATAAAGCTTGAAAAGTTTTTGCACTCTCTTTTATCGACTAATTCAAACAATGGAACCCACGTAAATGTACAGGCTGTCCCAAAGGCATGTAGCATTTTTACTCTCTCTTTCCAAAGTCTTTCGCTTGCGTCAGGTATCTACCTTTAGCTATAGTTGGCTTCAACTTAGATTTGAGTATGATGCGAATCACTAATTATTGATTGTTGTAAAATTACAGTAGAAACTTTGAGCATACAGCCCATTGTGAAACAGGTAGTTTAAAAAATATTCAGATTGATTGGGAATATGCAGCAATGTTCTTGGACATGCTGATTCGACTAGACAACTTCTTACGAGTTTTTCCTGATTCAATCACAGTTCAAAAAAAAAATGTTGTTCCAGTTTACTTGGCTTAACTTATGAAAAAAGCATTAGCTGCGAACTTCATGCACGTAGTCAGCGACTGTTCAGCCTAATGACAAAATTTTCAGCCGTACATCATTCTGAGACAAAAATGTAGCCATTGATGGCTCAAACCCGCTGGAGAAAAAAAACCAGTTTCCGGGATAAAACGTTACAGCCTATCTAGAAGTCACCTGGAGCGATAGAAACTACTGTTATGCAAGGCTAAGGAGTTCATGGTATGAAATATCCTGACATTTGCCGCTGCTCCAATTAAAGGCAGCGTCCAGGCAAGATCCATCCACCCAGATTAGCACACAGTTGTAAAAAGGGGCCCATGAGTATCCGAACTGCGTTGGTCCAATCCTTTGACATGTCCTCTAAAAGGAAATACGGGCCTGTGATACGTATCACAAACCACCCTTGAGGACGAGTGCTTACGCACGTGTGCGGTTGCATTGCAGTGGCATTGCAGTTGCACTGCACACCGCAATGCAACTGCATCCGTGCAGTTGCAGCTCCTCCCGCTGGCATGGAGGACCGGTCCGCCGCCCGTCACCGTCGGCTCAGTACGCGCCACAGTCCGCGTCACGCTGAAACTCATCATTGAAGCGCGTTTTTGCGCTGGCGTTGCAAATATGCAAAAAGAGTTAACACTATGCTAGTATCCGCCACCACTGTTCATCACTTTGTAATCACCTAGCATAGGCACATCTGCCCGAAAAGGACAAGGTCCACGGCAAATCCATAACCTCATGCCGTACACCTCCCAGAACTCCTTGAAGAAGCCTCATTATGCAAAAATAAGTATGCTCTTGTATCTAGCATACCAGATAATCCTCAGACCAATCAAAGCCAAATCTGTGGTTTTGACCCCGACACACAATGCAAGGAAAAAATTAGTTGTCGAATTTAGTAGATAAGTAGATGTAGATGTGTGGGAGAATGCCCATCTATTGTGTTCCAGCAAAAATCACAGCTTTGAAATTTGAGGCCTGGATGTTAGAATAGCGCCAATCTCGTAGAGGCGGAATGCTTGCACATTGCTATATAAAACTCCACCATCCATTTAAGACTTATGCGGGAAAGGAGGCTGCACAACATGTGATCCTACCAGGGAGAACAGACTACACACAGCGACTGTACATTTCTACGTCGCTTTACTAGTCATCTTCAGACAATGAGCGTGAATTGTGAAGCCTACAAGTCGTAGATGTTCATCCTTGTTGCGATGTCTGTTGCGAAAATTCCTCGAATTGTATCCTAACGGATATAGCGAAGTTACTGTGACTTAGTGAATGCGATACTCTCGTTTGATAGGAAGGTAGCGCCTCAAAACCACATTTAGCGACATGTAAATCAACAGTTTTTGGATTGGTATTACTACCAGAACTCTGCCCCGGACTGAAGCTGATGAACTTACTTCAGCTAATGTCATATTTCCCGTGACTGGACAAGTCTTGAGTGGACAGAGTCACTGGCTCTAAATTTGCATAATTGACATCCTATCTGTCCAAACTGTCCAGCTATGAAGCCTTGTCTTCTTGGTGTACAGATTGAGTCTAATCCGGACCGCGCAAAAAAGGTCGTGATCTCAGCAACAGATTGCATTATTTTCGTACACGTTCTATCCTCTCTAATAATAAGAAGCAGACAATCAAAAATGGAGGAAAATTTTCGTCTGCGTAGACTCATGCCTATCTTTATAGCATAGGTCTCTCCTTAGTGCCTGCTCATATTTTAGTGGCATATTAGTGTTTGACCCATTGTTGTGATAGAAGCAATTGTTTGGCGTTTACCATCTGCACAAAAGCACACGAGGCAAAGTGATCGATTTGTTTGGGGAACTGCTCCGCCAAACGGAGCCATAACGAAATCTACGCACTGAAACAACTTTGATATACACTTTTCGTTTGGTAGCTTAGAATAGTTGCGCAAAAGTCTCTCATGCTTAATGAAACGAGTATACGGGTGCACGCGTCGCCTTTGAGCCGCGACGCGTACTGAGCCGACAGTGACGGACGGCGGGCCGGTCCTCGCTGGCATGACGATGGGGACGAGAAACTCGAAACTCGTCCGCTCCTCAAAGAGAGGATCCCAAGAACCGGGTTTTTGGGAGTTTTGAACAATTTGGACTTTACAACTGTAAACAGGGCCACGGAAAGGCCCCAGAATGGCAGAAACACGAGAGGCGAAATTTTGCCCGGACGCTGCCTTTAAGGTCTATAAAGGCTGAGTGAACTCATTTCGGAAATTACTACAACATTCGACACAAGAAATTCTACAACTTCTTTCCCAAAGACCTTACTGAAGATAGGATCGTATTGCAGACAGAAAAAGCAGATATGGAATTTAAGATTTTTAGTCCTTATGGTATGCAGATTGTGGTGATCGGCTACCTTCCAATTCGTGACCCTCCCTTGTGAGAGCTGCTAAAGCGCCCAAACCGTTTCTGAATAGGCGCAGGCCCCGAGCGAAGTCGCTGCGAAATTCTGCCGCTCAACCGTGATACTCTGATTGAGGCCATCTATACTCATGTATGGGGCTCACATAAGCTAAAAAATTTGCGACAACACTCTTCTTCCAGAAGGGTGAAAGACTCATTTCATCTGTTTAAAAAAACTAATTATGACACTTTTTTTCACTGCTTTCAAGATGATGCTACGATTGAAGTGGCTCCGTCATGAAACAAAATTCAGACGTTCCCGCGAAAACACAAACCGTCTTTTATTGAGATAATTTGGTGCAAGCAAAGGCTCATAACACAATAGACAATTTACCAAATGATTTCTTCACTTCGCTGGTGCATCTGAAAGACAATAGTAATATGTCGGTACAGTCTACTAGGCTTCGTAAGTCAATCCACCTAATTTTATGAGAGCAGGCAGGCAAGACGATACATTTATTTTCAACGATTATTTACGTCTCTTCCAGCAATGCATAAAGACTTCATTTTTTCAGAATTCCCGCTCAGTAAAGTTGACTGCACGGAATCGTCAATCGCCGCAGGCTGAACAGTCGCGTTGCAGGGACGCTCGCGTGCGTTCAGCTTACAGCGATATGGGCTTTCATGCAGTCGACTTTGGCAGTTTGAAGTTGACTTTCTCACAAAAAACGGCTGACAGCAGATTGCAGCAGAGATTTACATGGACAATGCTACAAGGAACCAATTAAAACTCTATTCTCAGTGCAGCTGCAATCGTCTCCACTCCACCAGACACTCAGTGGACGAATTTGGAATTGAGCAGGAGCAGACGATTGGAGTCAGGGCGCGCTATGCGTCGGTTTATTTGTATTCTTTCGTTGCTTGCTATATTTCGTATTGCATCATGATGAAGGCTCGGCACAGCTGGCACCGGGTCAAGCTGGATATCGTTTTTAGGGCAGAAAGCAAAAGGGATATCGTTTTTCCAAGGTCCAGGCGGAGAAGGGCCGCAAGAATGACGCCGGCATGCCACCGGCATTCTGTCCATCAAACAAACAAAGGCGTTGTTTTCAGCCAAAACGCAATAGTATGACACCAAAAGGTGTGTGCATGCGAGTTAGGGGACCCGAACTATGGCCCAAAAATTTATGAAAACTTATGTGAATGAAAGCTGTGCTGAACATTTTTCCTGAAGCTGGCACCGACGCTTTGCTCACATAAGTTTTCATACTTTTTTACATAAAATGTATCTACACCGCAAAAGTTTATATACAGAGAAGAAACAATTTTATGACGTTTTCTTCAGCGTTTTATAGCCATCATCTGAAAGTTACTCGGTCTGCTCCGCAGTCGAAAAATCGCCTTTTTCTGCTTCTCAAGATGTGATTCAACCACTCAAAAAGTTCAGAAAGTTGTGAAAAGTTGTTTCATGGAATCAGCATGCATGAAAACCCTACTGCAGGCTTTTACATAATCTAAAAATGACGGGTCTTCCAGGTCAAAGGGGACTTCGTACGAAATTTTCAAGATCAAACGGGACTTCGTTTTGGCAATTTACCTGGTGCCAGCTCTTGCCAAGTCCTATTATGATCTTTATCAGAATTTATTATCTTGTTGATTGTGGCAGTTCTTCCGCTGCTGCGCTGATTTACTTTACTTTTACTTCAGGTAAGCGGGAATAATGATGCGGCCAGGGATTTTGCTGAAACCCCATTTGTAAGCAACATACACAGGTGGTTTAGTGTATTTTGTGGTACAATTTTTCATCTGAAATTCTTCTCTATCACCTTAGACCAACTCTTCAAGGAGTGTAAGTCCTACATAGAAGGCTTGCTTGTATCACACTTTGCACGTGGAACTTAGCGGAAAAACGAATCTTCCAGCAGAAAATCTTGAACTGCATGGTTTTCTAGGCTTAGCTGAACAAAAGTAATGTAAAGAGGTTATGCGAGGGTAACATGATTCTGCCAAATAACGCCTTGAAACATGATATCCTACGTTTAGTTGGTAATATGTTGATTGATAAATTATCTGTATCATGCTTTAAATGAAAGCTTTTCTTCTACCGAGGCTTACCCTCCGCCCTTGTGCCTAATATTTTCTGAATGCAACCTTTGACTGGTATAGGCTGTAAGCAGAGTACGAGCTCATTATTATACAGTGGAAGTGTTGCAATGTTTCGTTTAGTGGAGAAATGGCGAATGTGAGTGAAGGATCTCACAGTAATGCCGGAATAAGAATGCGAAGGATGTGATTAGATTTTATGGCTGAAAATACAACAAAAAAGAGTATCAGAAATACCCTTTAAACTACGGTTCCTTCAAAATGGAATCAAATGCATAGCAAGATCTGAGATGTTTGTTTCAACTCTTCTCCTTAAAGGTGGGCAAAAACTTGAGTTGACACCAGGGTCGAGCAAGAGGTGTAGCTCACAACCGCCGGATACGACTCCCCCCCCCCATCTTAAAGGCAGTGTCCGGACAAAAACTCGATTTTTAGATTTTGTGCTTACTTGGGTCTATTCGCTACGTTGAATCCGAAAATGCACATTATAGAGCGCGAAAATGGCGAGAACGGCTCTAATACAGGAGGGAAATGAGCAGGTGGGCGGGGTCCTCCCCACTGCGAATTCACGTTCCCGGCTTCCGGAGCGACCTTCTCGCTTCCGGTTTCAATTCACTCATTCGCACTTGACCGGTAACGATGTTAGGACGGCTAGCGGAATCGAGAAAATCGCTCCGGGAGCTGGGGGCGTGAAACCGCATTGGGGAAAGCCCCGCCCACCTGCTGATTTCCCTCCTGTGTTAGAGCCCTTTTTCGCCGTTTTCGCGCTTTCCAAAGTTGATTTTCGGATTCAGCATGGCGAATAGGCCCGTATAAGCACAAAATCTCAAAATCGAGTTTTTGCCCGGACACTGCCTTTAAGTTCTGCTTCGACCCCCTCCCCCACACAATTTCGTTTGCTTGCTGTAGGTATGACATAAAGGCTTTACCGAGCATAATTAGTAACATATTTGTGATTACCATGTTAGAGAACCCCTATGAGGCCAAGTTTTAACGAATTCTGGGGTTTCCCATTATTGGGCCACCCAAGTAGGCCTTTTTCAAACATGATTAACCATATTTCAAAAGCGAATTAGCTACTTCTTCTTGTACTCAGTACAAAGCACTACTCCCTATTAGCTTATACCATGGATTCTGGTTCAAATGACCATCAAACTATGGAATTAGGAGCCAGCCAAAATCTCGTTTGTCCCATTTTTCGCTTGCAGTAGTTGTGCGTCCAGCAACTATTGCTCAAACGAAAGAAAAATAATTCAGCTCTAATCACTTCTACAAAAACTACGATGTTTTTGCTCTCGAAATGTACCTAATTTGTTCCTCAAAGGCAGTGTCCCACCAGACTGGGGGTTTCTGGCTCTCGTAGTAATGTGATAGTAGACCCCTTACCCAATCCTGAAGTTCGGAGCGAAAGAGGGGTCTACCAAGCCTGAAATTTGCTCCGAAACGGCCCGAATCTTACGGTAGGCCCGAATGCCGCCCACACAGCAATATCGACTGCAAGGCCAGAGTGCGTATGACGCACACAGTCATGAGCGCAGGGTCCCGCAACGACTCTGCGTCTCCACCTTGCATCCATCTCGTACTCGCCCGTGCCTAACGTAGGATTCTTACCACTTTCGGAGCAAATTTCAGGCTTAGTAGACCCCCTTTTTCGCTCAACATCAGTCATCGATTAGGTAGGTCTACTATTACATTACTACGAGAGCCAGATATCCCCAGTCTGGTGGGACACTGCCTTTAAAGGCAGCGTCCAGGCAAGATCCATCCACCCAGATTAGCACATAGTTGTAAAGAGGGGCCCATCCTTTGACGTGCCCTCTAAAAGGAAATATGGGCCTGCGATACGTATCACAAGCCGCCCCTTCGTATCACAAACCACCCCTGAGGACGAGTGCTCACGCAGGTGTGCAGTTGCATTGCAGTTGCACTGCACACTGCGATGCAACTGGCACTGCACACTGCAATGCAACTGCATCCGTGCAGTTGCAGCTCCTCCCGCTGGCATGACGATGTGGACGAGCAATTCGGAACTCGTCCGCTCCTTGAAAAGAGGGTCCTCAAGAACCGGGTTTTTTGGGAGTTTTGAACAATTTGGACTTGACAACTGTAATCAGGGCCACGGAAAGGCCCCAGAATGGCAGAAACATGAGAGGCGAAATTTTGCCCTAACGCTGCCACTAAGTTTCTCTTCGAATGTAAGTTAATGGGGTGTGGCACAACCCCTAAAAACTGTGGCGGCCACCCTTTTTAGGGGTTGTGCTACACCCTATTGTTTCATACTGCCGCACTGACTGCAGCAGACTGCAGCTGACCGCATTGACTGCAACGGCCGCACAGCTCGCTGCATCCTTTCGTAAAAGAGAAAATAGTTGCGAATACATTGAAATACCGTGTTTTACGCCTAGAAAGTTCATAGTTCGAACTTACGCTTCTAATCAAATTTTGGCGATTGTTTTTCTTTGATATGCTCATATTTGTTTAGATTCCTTTTGTCATTGCATATATAGTCGTCCTCACCCCACTAGTCGGTCGGTGGACGAATTCGAATTCGAACTGGAGCAGGCAGGTCGCGGCAGAGCACGGCACCTTAGCTCTCCGTTCAGATTCACGCATTCACTTTGCGCATTTCTTTGCCATTGCTTAGCAGTTTTTGTATTGTTACAACGTTTTTGACCTATACTGAGTTTTTTAATTGCTGAGCGTTGCCTCCTGCCGCGCTCTGCCGTGACAAGCCTGCTCCATTTCAAATTTGAATTCGTCCACCAACCGACTAGTGGGGTGAGGTCGACTATACAGTCTGCCCCAATCGGGATCAGGCCGTACCGCCGGCTGAATTTGCGCGCCCGCAACGCTAAGGGTCTGCGCTGCATATGCGCACTGTCGCAGAGAGCGAAGCGATTGAGGAGAGAGCAGACTGGCTAGCCGTAGATGTGACGCAATACCTTCGCGGCACGGGTTCCCGCCATGCCAATTTTGGCCTGGTTGGGATTGGGGCAGACTGTACCTACTTTACTCCCGCTCGTGTTGTCTATTGGGACATACATTGTTAAGAGACTGTTTGAGCTACAACTATTTATCCTCTCCGCCTTCACGAAAGGATGTAGCGATTTGTGCGGTCCCGCGGTCAATGCGGTCAATGCAGTCTGCTGCAGTCTGCTGCAGTCAGCTGCGGTCATCGCGGTCAGCTGCAGTCTGCTGCAGTCTGCTGCAGCGACAGTCTGAAACAACCCATTAATTTACCTTTGAACCATTCGAATCTCTGCATTTTTTATATGGTTGCTATTGCTTAACCTTTTTCTTTACATTGTAGAAAAATCATCTGAAATCGTGCCTTCTAGGGAAAGATATAGTCGTTTTCACTTACTTTTGCAAATGGAAAATGCTGCGAAATTGGGCTAGGGTAACATGCCCAGTCTGAGTTACTGTGTAGATCGCGAAAGAAGGCAACAAAGCTACATATGTTTAATAGACTATGTTTCATAATTTACATAAATGTGATTTGAGCCTGGCTGTTTCTCTTGAAAGCGGAAAATGGAACAAATGAGATTTTGGCTTGCTCGTAATTCAACAATTTGGATATTATTCGAAGTGGGATTCCTACTGTGAGTAAATAAGCAGTAGTTCTTTGTACTAAGGTGAGAAAGAAGCAGTCAACTCACCTTTGAAACGAAGGATACATGTTTGAAAATGACTATCTCACTTGGATGGCCCAATATTTGGAAACCTCAGAATTTGTTAAACTTGGCCCACAGGGGTTATTTGACATTCTAATTTTACGAAAATGATGCTCTTATGCTTATAGCGTTTTTATCATGCTTACTGTACGTATACGATGGTAGACCAAAACATCGATGCGTTAGTCTTTACTTGCCGATCTGAACTGTTAACAATATCATATTATCGCTAACGTTAGCTCACCCCGATAACGACCCTCCCCCCCCCCTTTTCCCCAACCTATCAATACGACTGGGGCATGCCACACCATGCTTGACTCTGGTTAACACCTTACGACATTGCGACGCAACTGGAGATCGTATGTACTGCTACTATTTCGACTATTTTTTTGTGAAGCCCCAATCTTTGCAAGTTTGCAAAACACAAAATAACAAGAGTTTGACAAAACTTTATGGGATTTGGCAAACGTCCGGAGACTCAGATAGCTGAAGCGTGCGGTACACGCGCGTTAATGGTCGATGCGTCAAAGCGCGTGCCTTATTTGTGGTCGTGTTCGCCAGTACGCTAAATGCGTGTCATCAGAGACATTTGGTGCGTGCGGCGTGCGTGTTGATTGCCAACGCCGCGCTACGTCTGTGTTCGATCTCGCCGCCCTTGCGCCTAATTTTTTAGCATGCGGGCACGCCTGCCTTTATACTCTACTCAGATAATCGCTGGGGGCAGGTGGTCCGCAAACTCGCGCTTTTCTGAAAATTTTGGGGCGTGGCCAAACCTTCAGCGAGCGGTAGTTCCGTGTTCTGCCAGCGAGCAGAAATACAGAATTTTCTGTAAGCGCTCGGCAAATAATCTCTTTCATCGAGCGCTGGCCAAATTTCCGCAGGCGCTCGGACTGTTTTCACGCAGTTTCGTGCTACGCCGAGCAAAGCTAACACTGTAAATACAGAGGTGTCATCGATGGTTTAACTACCCGAGTTTGGGGTACTTTCTTTCAGCGGAAGGTACCTACGGGCTGCGCGGTCCTTCACAAAGGACCATGCGGCCCTCAATAATTTTGCATATTCTCGCGGAAGGTCCGTGAGAATGCGACCACTGCGCCGCAGCTAATCTATGAAAAAGCCGCAGTTGTTCTTTGAGCTTTTATCTGAAACTTCGCTAAAATTCTTCCAAATATCTCAAGCGGACCGCAAAAAATCAGCGAACTATTTATCCAATGCCTGCCTCCCCACAAGTCGCATGGTCGCCTGCCCCCGGCGATTATCTAAGTACCCGTGCGTCCAGCGCTCCTGCAATTCTCACATGCTGTAAGCGTAAGGCATACCAGCGTAAAGTACGACGCAGTAGTCAAACTGCCTCATTATTCATGAGGGTGGGTATCGCACCTTGGTGTACGGGTAATCACAAAAACAGAATCTCTCTGCCTTCGAGCGTCAACCCCTGGTAGCTCCCCGAGTGAGTGCCGAATCTGAATCCCTGGTCTCAAATATGAACTCGTATTTCTTTGGCATATGAACTGTGGAGTTAATAATCAAGACTTGCGGTATATAGCGCAGCGAACAACAAGAAAATGACGGCCATCACGGGCCAGGTCAGCAGCAGCGGCACAACATCCAATGTATCGCTATCCGCGGACTGGGTGTTGCGTCATCGTGTAACTGCACTCTTCAACTGTCTGAGCGCTCTAGTTCAAAATGGCAGAAATTCAAAAAAAAAAGGCGTGAATGTGTTGAAGGGCTGTATTTTTGTTGTGCTTATGCAACAACTGGGTCATCGGGAACGCAGTATACAGAAGTCCTTTTTAAATGATATAAAAATTACTGATCGTTTCTCACCTTTCTTAGGTGGGTTTGCGGCGACGTTCTTTTGCGCATCTAAACAAATCCTAACAATTTGGGCATCATAAGAAAGTGTCTCTTTTCAACTTACCTTTGCCGTTGTACGGACTACCAGATTGCGTCGGCTTTGTAGCTGGTACTTCTCCCTTCTTTTCTTCCTTGGCGCCTTCGGCTTTCTTCCCTTCATCTTTTATCTCCTCCTTCTTTTGGCCTCCTTCCTTCTCCTCTGCTTTCTCTTCCTTCTTCTCTTCATGGGGCTCAGCGGCATTTTGCTGTTCCTTTTTCTCATCCTCCTTTTCTCCCTTTTCTTTCTGGAAAAAAAAAACAATCTTTGGAACTTTTGCTCTCCGGTATGCGTACCGCATCCTTAGCTGAATCCCAATCGCTTTCGACATCGTTGAACGTAGGATAGTCACCCTTATTACGGACTTCTTTTCCCTGTGCAATGCGCTCCTATAAAAGCGATAGCTGCAAGTTCTAGACCTCATTATTTTCTGCTGACTTCTTTTTCATTGCGTTTTATCTGTTTAGGTTTAAGATTTTCTATAAACTTCTTTTCTTCTCTAAGCTCCTCTTCCTTGTCGGATTTCTTGTCTTCACTTATCTTTTCTTCCTTCTCTTTTTCGTCCTTTTTGACCACTTCTTTCTTCTCTTGTTCCTTCTTCGTATCTCCCTTCTCGTTTCTCTTCTCCTGAAATCTCCGAGCTTGGCATTTGCATACGATCAGATAATGGAGAGAGGAAGATTTTAGAATAATGTATGCTTATCTATTGAAATAAGAAAACCACCTCTTCTTTTGCCTTATCTAAGTCCTTTCTAGCGCTTTTTGATGCAGCAGCCACTCCTCCACCAGATGGCAGTGAAGCCGGTGTTGGACTCCTTTTCTGCAAATCAGTAATTATGTCCTGTATGTTTTCAACTTTAGTTCAATACAGTCAAATTATGAAATTGAATTATGAAAGGTTAGCACTGTTTAGGTCCGCCACAAAAAATAAACAGCCCCATCATCGACTGCAGACTGGCATTTAAAGTCACTGGTTCAGCAATAACCTGAAGTTATTCAAGATGCTAATTCCGAAGTCAATGTCAAAGTGCCTGAAGACAGCGAAAACAATCATTTTCCAGGTCCTTCATATGACATTTGGACGAAAGAAACAGTTCCAGTCAAGGTTTGTGGAAACAAAAAGTCGCTACGGGGCCGTTATCGTTACAACATTGCGGTATGCTCCTCCAACGATAAAAATAATTGCGAACTCTGTGTAGGAAAAGCGCAAATTACCACCACTGCGCTATTGGTTGCGCCCGCTCAGCCAGCCGTTAATGAGTATAAAAGGAGAGTAACCCCGCCTCCAGGGGCTCTCATGCACTTCCGCCGCCAGCTTCGGCTGGCACCACTGCACCCCATTTAATCGTCCCTTCTTTCCTTTATCATTGTTTTGTATTGTTTATGTATCCTTTGTATCCATATAACCTTCTTATTAACCTCTACATTGTTCACCTCCTATTATAATCTCCTTTACCAATCCACGTAACCTCCTCATTACCCTCAATATCATCTACCTCCTATGGTACTCTGATTATGTGTTACACTCGTCTACCGCTTATGTTATGCCGTATACCTATCCGTCTAATTACCTCTATATACTCAATTCCTATAACGTTATGTCATAAGGATAAACTTTAGCAATCATTCATGTTCTGCAGAGAAGGGAAAGACTAGAGAGAGTCAAAATAATCATACGTTACTGGACAAAGTCCTCACAATAACCCAAAACCTTTTTAAATATTACATCTGTTTAGAGGAAGCAATTGGCATACGCGAGCCGGTGGAGGGAATTCTCGACCAGAAGCCATGCTGCATGCTTGGACTCAGCGGTGCTCAGCTGGGAGTGCAACCTTTTATGCCTATGAAATTTTGCCTTGAAATCGCGCCAGTTCTCGTTTTATCGCGTACACGCAGTGGTGTCCATATACAGGGCTTATCAAGCAAAGTCGGGTGCACCAGCATCTCCGTTCCTGCGCGCCTGCCTCGCCTAAACTCTGCACCTCTTTCGCGAACACGCTCTCTTATCATTTTCGCACGCTTAATTAGCACTTGAGGCCCCGCCTTTCCCACGCTTTTCTCTTATCATTCTCGCACGTTTGATTAGTGCTTGAAGTTTTGCCTTTCCCGCGCTCGTGGTGAAAATGATAAGAGAGCATGTTCGCAAAAGAGGTTTAGAGTCCAGGCGATCGGAGATGCTGGTGATTCCAGCATCCGCTCGCCTGGACTCTGCAATCGATAAGTCCTGTAAGCTGTCTATCCCAGCATTTGTGAGCATGTGTCGTCATCTCCTTCAAAACTACCCTTTCTAAAGGCAGTTTCCGGGCAAAAAGTCGATTTTAAGATTTTGTGCTTGCCCGGGCCTATTCGCTATGCTGAGTCCGAAAATCCACACTGGAGTGCGTATAAACGGCGAGAAAGCGCCTAAGGGTGATGTCATCAGGTGGGCGGGGTCTTCCCCACTGTGGATTTAAGCTCCCAGCTTCCGAAGCGGTCTTGCCGCTTCCGATTCCAAGTCAAGCGTTCGCGCTTGGCCGGTGGCGATGCCAGCAAACGGAATTGAAAGGATCGCTTCGGATGCTGGGAGCGTGAATTCCCCGCCCCCTGCTAATTTCCCTCCTGCGTTAGAGCCCTTTATTGTCGTTTTTGCGCTCTCCGGTGTGCGTTTTCGTATTCAGCATAGCGAATAGGCCCGGGTAAGCATAACATCTCCGACTTTTTGCCCGGACACTGCCTTCAAGTTGTAGTTGATATTACTGCACCCTGCAATGTTAACGGCCATCGCGTTTAGATAATTAATGCAAGGAAAAATTTGTAGTGTGTAATCACCCTTTCTTCTCCTAAGACTTTTTTGTTTCAAGTTTTTTAGAGTTCCTTATACGCAGTCAAAGACGATGAATTTTTGGTTTTCAAGATCAAGTATAGCGACCAATTTTTCGAAACACTCAAATTTTTGTTAATGAAATGTATTACGATTTATTATAATACAATTAAGCAGCGTCCAGGCAAGCTTTCGACTTTCATGTTTTTGTCATTTTCGAGCTTTCCACTTTGATTGTAAATCTAAATTTCAAATCGTGTCAACACGTCACAAACCCCCGTTTTGGGAATCCCATTTTGAAAGCACGGACAAGTAACTAGACACTAGGCTCGTAATAAACCCTCATTCATCTCAGTTGACTTGAGATTAGTCATTCAGAAGAACTTCCTCGGGCAAACCTAATCCCGCCCATCTTCCGTGCTTTAGGATAGTCAGTTTAACAGTCAGAAGACTGTCTGGTCAAGTGTCACAGTCAGTTCACCAGAATGCCACTTTTCCGAGGTTGAATTTTAGGGTGACCCGAGAGAGATAGTGGGCATAAGAGGAGAATCAGACAAATTTACCGTAAGTTGCTCGTGAGTAACTTACGGGAAAATTCAGTTGACGTATTCTTGCGGTGCAAAACTCCCAAAATTGCACGTTTTCGGCGGCCTAAATGGGAGAGGATCGATGAACAGCTTATTGCGGCGAAAAAAACGAGAAAACAGGATTTCTTGGATTTATTCTTTTTTTCAGAGCTTGATCATTTTCCCTTCAAAAACTGCTTGACAAGGATCTATTTACTTTTTTATTTGCTCTATGTTCAAAAATTTTAATTTTTCTTGAATTCCTCGTCAAAATGTGGTAGTTTTGTTTTAACCATCATTTGCTTGGCGATATCTTTGATAGCGTTTGCCATCGATTTTTCTCGGTAGCGGCCATTATCAAAGATTGTCTGTGGTGGCGCAAAAATTTGGCACTTTCCGACTTTGGACCACGGTCTTGCGCGTTGAAACCAATTCTTAGCCTCTCGACCAAACGCTCAAGGGGTTTAGTTTTTAAGAACGCACAAGATCTTTGGGTCTGAAAAGCGTCCGAATCCGGATCGATGGCTCACCGAATGCCGGACTGAGGCGCTCTACGTTTAACGTAAGCCGGCCCCAGCCGAGTTGGGCTGAGAGGGGGTTTACTACGGGCCACTAATTTATTGCGCGGTGCAAAGTGAGAACCTGTATCAGAGACAGATACGCGCGCAGACTGCTCGTCCACGCAGGTTATGGGGAGCAGGAAAGTTTCGCAGAGCGCCTTGGAACTTTAAGAGTCGCATTTCTCGAGCGGATCTGATAATTTGCTTTATTGAGGGGGCCCATTGAAATGCTGCTTTCAAGTATCCAAACTGCTTGCTTTAGCAGAAAACTGTCATTGTCACTCACAAGACTACCCTTACAAGAGAGGTTCTTTTGCGTAGTATCACATCACTGACCTGGTCTTTCATCTTTTCTGTCTTTCCCGTTTTTTCGTTCTTTTGCTTGTCTTTCCTTCTTCTCAGTCTTCCACATTGTTCGAGTAAGTGAGCTGAAGGAACATGTACAGTCGCGGTCAATGTATATTGGTTTCAAATAACGCACGCCGAAAATAGTGCGCGACGACTGATAAGCGCGAAGCGCTGGCGCTTAGCCGCGTCGCATGGCGCTGCAGTCGGGCGGGCTAATTTCGGTGTACGATATATGAAAACAATACACAATAACCGCGACTGTATAGGCCCCGCGCACGGAGAGCAACGCTGTTGCGTACATTGAAGGCAGTTCACGACTGGAAGAAGTGCAAAGAAAACAGGCGGCTAGAGTGCACGAGAAAAGAGGAGTGACGCGCAGTACACACCTTGCGCACTCTCCAAGCTCTGCGCGGACGGCCTATGCAATAAGTCATCGCCACCATTTTCTTGAAGCAAGGCGTGCAAGTGCGGACCAGTATTCAAACGAATACCGCGGTCAGCGCGAACGTCACAAGCGTGATGGATGTAGCCGCATGACGTCTCGCAAGCTACTCGTACCTCGTTAGACTGTTGAGCACACATTTACGAGCTTGACAGCAAGGCATTTCCTTTGTGTCCTGTTGCTGCTAATAAGCAGTTACAATGTAAGGCCGTCTGCACAAGCATCGGGGTAGACGCCATCTCAGACATCAAGAGACATCAGGAATCTCTGGAAGTTTTTGGGGCGTTCTGAACTATTGCAGCTGCCACGTAGGGCGGAGAGTGGGGCGGTCCGCTCGCGATGACGGCACAAAAGTCGAGGCACAGGAACTTCCGGGGGCGGAGGAAAGTGGCCCCGGAAGTCATAGACCTGCAGGACCAGCGGGGTAATCTAAGCGTCCAGAACCTCCGAGGGAAATTAGTACGCAGTCAATTATTACGTTAATACGCATCTTACGCATTTTCGAAAACAAGCAGTTATCTTTTTAGATTGTTCGAATCGTGCTCCTTCCTTTTTCTCATCGATTTCATGTTGTTTATCGGCGTTTTGGTTTCTACGTCGCTCCTAATTCTTCTACCTTCAGGTAAAACATTCAGTTTTGTGTCAGTTACGTAGTAGGCGTACGCAGGCTCTTATGCAAGCTGTTTCGAATTGTTTTCACGCGTTTCTTCTCCGCCGTTCGTGTTGTTCCTCCGTTTTTGGATTTTTTTCTGGATTCAGAGTAGAGCAATTTGAGTGTTTGTCGCCAGTATCATCATTCTGGGAGTTAAACTGATGAAAGAGTCTGATCCTATTCTTAGGCACACGCCATAGTTGATCCACTTGATCCACTTGATCCACTTAATCTGCTTCGTGTAAAAAACGCGCAGCGAGTAATTTGTAAGTGTCGCGTATATGAAAAGAACTTTTGTATGGTTGCAAATTCGCTGTGCGCGACACCAAGTAACCAACCACTCACGGCGCGTTTTTTTACATGAAAGTACCAGGCAGATCAAGACTCTGGCCTGTGCCTTACATATTCGTATAATGCCCAGACTGTTATGGATCGATCTCGTGCATCGCATCGTTTCTCGCAAAAGGGTTCATTTGTGATGCCGTCTAGGTTTATTTCAGGTCTCATTATTTGAGCTTGTAGCTACTCGCTCGCTTAGTTGTTTTGTTCGATCATATGCGCGATTACGGCTGTTTGATGTTCTACACTACATGCTTGATTGTTTGGATGGTGATGTTGCTGTTTTATTTTAGTAGTTAGGTTCAGCTGGCCTTCAAGTTGCGTCTCGCTCCATAATGGTTGATCAAATTGCTTGTTGCCTTCGGCGCTGTCAGCCATTCTCTCCATTATTTTGATTTGCAGTCTAACTTTGATTTTTCTTGTTGTTTGCTTTTTATGACACTTAAGCCAAAGGTCCCACGTCTTCCTTATTATGTGGCTCTGTTTACAAGTGATTATCATTTGCTTTACCTGCTTGCTTATCAAAGTTTAATGGTAGCTGCACTGTATCCAGTTCTGAGCTAGCCTGTCTCGTTTATTTCTATTTTCGGCAGTTGCTCTTACCGGTGCAGTTGCCCAACCTTATGGTCATTGTTGTTGTTTGGGAACAGCGACTAGCCGATCACCGCTATTATATCTCATTGTTCCTTGGCTCTCGATTTCCAATTTTCGGATGGTCCACTGTTGTCATCAAATGTCATGCTGTCTTTCCAAAGTTAATGCATCGCAATTTCATATGCTCTTCTATGCGCCCCATCCACTTCCAAATTTATTTGCCGTTACTTTTGGATGAGTTTATCTAGCCGGGTTTACCTTAGCTATTATCTTAACCTCCTGGAATTTGTTTGTTGCTATACATGTGTCCGCGAGAACTAAGGATGAGTAAAGGCAAACAGTAGACATTGTTTGTGTTCTCCTCTACTCTTCTTACCAATGATATCTGGAATTAGAATGGATGAAAGTCATAGGTACTTGTAATCTCTTTTTGCTTCGATTTCAGGGTAATTGAAGTAAGCGCAACTTGGTCTTTAGGGCCAAGATTTGCAACATATTAATCTCTCAGTAAGGCTTAACGCTTGTGCTCTATTTCGAATTCAAGATTGCAGTCTTCGGTTCACTAAAAGAAGCCATGAATGTGGGATACGTCTAATAAAAATTGTAAGAATTTGATATGGAACTGCAAAATCACTTGCTTCAGTATCGTTCAGGTGTCATCCTTCTTATGGAAAATTTACTCTTGATTGCCTCACACTCTGGCAGCTAGTCTCTCCCCCCACTATTCTCGGATTATTTTTGGATCGAGGGCTATGGAAATACATATCGATTACTCTCGTATTCATTTTATCGCATAGTTTTCTATCTCACAGAGGACTCAGGTAATCTTGGCTGTATATTTTCTGTATTAGCTCTGTATTACGTTTGCTGCTTACATCTTATAGCCAATCTGCTGGCTACAGCTGCTGTCCTATACAGTATGAAATTCTTGTGGAGGAGATGCAATTGTTTATCTACAAGTTCTACTACACATTTTGGACTTTGAGTTCTAATAAGGATAGTTTTCAAAGTGGACACAAAGAGTGTCAAGAAGCAGATGTCTGTCTACAATTACGATGCTTGTGCACAGACCGGTGCCAGCAGGTTTATGCAGCACGATGTTTGAGAGTATGTGTCGTTATCTTTTCTGTGATCTCAAACACCAACAAAGAATCCAAACATTGTGCAACTTGTCCTAGTATCGTTAGAGTAACCCTTAGAACGTGCGTTTTCTTTATCACTACAAAATAGTATTATTCCTAGTAATATTCCACCTTTCAAAAAAATGTTTTCAGTGAGAATCAAATGTTTGGAGGTAACTCGGGCGAGGTTTAGGGGCATAATTCGAATTTGGAGCTTAACTGGGGCTAGTTACAGTAGATCAAGTGTGCAAAGTGCAGAGTTTCTGGAGGCAAATTTCGGTGGGAACCGGGGGACGAGTCGGATACCCACTGGAGCGGGGGAAGGGTGGACCTCGGAAGTCTCCGAAAATTCCACGGATGGCTCCGAACTTTTGTCTGAGATTTTGTACCTCGCTTACGTCATCGTCTATCTTCCTTTCGAGGGCACTGGAAGCATCGCGTGAATGGGTGAACATCTAAGTGAACAGGTTTGCCCCAGCGTCTGGGTTCTCCTTCGGAAATTTTTTGACTTGTAAAAAATTTTATTTCTCTATGGTTCCGTTTTCGACATGTGACTGCTCGAATGCCTGGCTTTTTATATTTCGCTGCGCCAAGAGACAATATTTTCTTATGCAGGTGTCGAACAACTTCGGAATTGCATGAGATTTCGACATAATGCGACAGCCCAAAGTTCAGCGTAAGCACTGTCTTCAAGGTAGAGACGGCTTATGCTTGCCTTGTGTCAGATATTTCTCTTGTTCTCCGCTCGTTGACTGTCTCAAACTTACGCACGGAAAGACTTTTTGACAGAGGGCTGCATGGAATGCAACTAAAATGTGATCTCCTAAGGCCGCGGACAGACTTCACGCGATTTGATCGTCGTGACTCAGTCGCCGACATTTCCATTCATTTTCATTTCACATTCAAAAATTTCAGGCTGGAAAAGTATCACAACCGAGTGCAAGTTGATCGGCATGGAATGATTTTGTAACAGTTGCCTCGTGGCGATTCAGTTACGACGATCAAATCGCGTGAAGTCTGCACGGGGCCTAACCCATAATCTAATTTACCATTATCATCATCCACATCTTCAATACTGTCTGTGCTTCAGTGAAGCAACGATGTGCAAACGAGACGCTCGAGAGCCAATTTTTAAGGATCTGTATTACTTATGTTCCAGTCGCTGAACTAGATAGCAGAAAGGAAATTTTAGGAAACAGAGTTCTGATGAATTTTCTTCCTAATTGGCAGTGTCGAAAGGCGATGAAATAGCTAAGTCTTTCATTCACTCCTTTTAGCAGTTGCCCATTGTCTTGCTTGAGCTAGGTCCAAAACCTCGATAAATTCTGATAAATGGCGTGTTACGCTTGAGCGCTACTGCTTGCTTTCCTCCATACAACGAAGATTATCATAACAAGCAAACAGTGCTACCAGCGGATACTAACAAGGGAACGATACTTAGTGTCCGTGGTCTTTTGAGATGAGATGTATACCATTATACTCGTCTCAAAACGCTGATTCCGAATCTGACTTCCATTTCTGCTGATCGTTTCCCTGAAAGGAGTTATGGAGGATTTTCGAGCAAAGTGTGGCAGCCCGAGGGAAATACGATTGGAATGGCAGTTCCCTCTGGTAGGCTGTGGTGTGGTGGTTAGAGTGATAGCCTCATAAGTTAATACAGGTGTAGGTTCGGATCTTTTTGTTTTTTAGTTTTGCATCGCCTCAGTTAATCTTCTTTTTGAAAGTTAGGCATCCTCGAGGTGAATGCATGCCCTTCCTCTTCAAAAAATATGGAAAATTTGGAGAATTAATTACTGTTCGCCTAAAATGTATCTATTAATCATAATTCGAGTAAATTCATTTGAACAAAACCCGTAGTATGCTGCAAGCTACCTTGATGAGCATTTTGGTCAGTTCCAATCCCCAGTACGAAACTGCTTTTCGCGTGAATTGCTGGATGAGTGCGAGAACGCCAACTGCAACGACTTATTCTTTATCCGGTGCGCTCACTGCGAACATCTCCTATGTTTTGATCACTTTGTCATAGATTTCCACCACTGTGTTTAACATAATTTTCTATTCATTTTCATTTTTATAAACACCTTTCAGAACAATTAAGAAGCACTCATAAAAAAATGACTTTTTGTTGGTTTTTTTTGGAGTAAGGGCATGTATTTACCTCGAGAATGCCTAACCTTCAACAAGAATGTTGATTGAGACAATACAAAACTAAACGTTTTGTAAAAAACAAAAGTAATCGAACCCACAAATGCATCAACTTATGAGGCTATCGCTCTAACCACTACATCACAGCTCAGCAGAGGTATCGGCACTCCGATCGTATTGCCCTCGGAGGGCCAAACCTGGCTCGAAAATCCTCCATAACTCCTTTCAGAGGAATGATCAGCAGAAGCGGAAGTCAGATTCGGAATAAGCGTTTCGAGACAAGTATAATGATATACATCTCATCTCAAAAGGCCACGAACGCTAAGTATCGTTTCCTTGTAAGAACTTCACGTCATCTGGATGTGTTTCATACAGGCAATACTGTAAAATTCAGCTTGCTCTTAAAATTAAGTTTTATTGAGTGTGGCGCAATCGTTGTGAAAAACTTATATAGCAGGCATACTTGACATTTTCCTGTTCATTCGAATGATGAAATTTCCTTTTTTTGAGGAAGAGGGAATTCCGCTCAGTACCCTCAGTCATTTTGAAACAGTGGATTACGATGTTCCGGCATTGTATTAAAAATTGTAAATTTTGAAACGAAGGCACAGGAAGTAGTGCTGATCTAGATATAAGAAATATAGCAAGTACTAGTGCAGGAAGCGGAGCGCGGATAAAACAGCGCCTTGATTTTCCGCTTAGCTTTCGATAAAACAATTGTAGCAAATTTCTACACTATGCCACTGTAGGGCCTTTAAGGCGGAGGAAGAGGACGCACTCCCTTGGTGGATTTGGAAAAAAAAGCGAGAATTTTGAGGGCCGTTTAGGGAGCCCTCCAAGAAATTTCCGTGTAGTAAATTTCCGTGCGCCACTTGATCAAGTATCCTTCCTTTGCTAATTTCTTCAATAATCGCATCTCACGCTTACACATAACTTTTAATTGTCACAATTGTTCAAGCCCTTGAGATTTCTGCGCAGTGAGTCTATTCGTCGAAAACTTGAAGCCTACATCCCAAAGAAGCTTTCAAAAAGCCATTGTTCAAAAGCGTCGTCAGATAGACATAATTGCATGAAACGTTGTCTACCTGAGGTTACTTTAGTGAGTTGAGAAAATTCTCACTTAAGATGTAAAAAGCATCATCTGTTGCGCATGTGGCGTCTATCAAGCTATAATAAAATCAGTGGCTATTCAAATTCGAATGTATTCTTCTGCAGAAAGTTTCTTCCATCTAGAGTGACCGATCTTACATGGAGAAGTTTCAGATTGAGTAGTTATTTACAGTTTTTCTCTATGCTCACCATTAGGCCTCGGACAGAGTTCGCGCGATTTGGTCGTCGCGATTCAAACGCTACAAAACAAGTGCTACGAGTTCATTGCATGCCGATCTTCTTGTATTTCGGTTGTGATAGTTAGTCACGATTAGTCGTGTTGGAAAACTATCACAACCGAAATGCTCGAAGTTCGGCATGCAATGAACTCGTTACATTTGTATGTAGCGATTGAATCGCAACGATCAAATTGCGTGAACGCTGCTCGAGGCCTTACTCGATGAGTAAAGACTCTACCATCTTAAGAGCAGAAGAGTGGATTATAGAACCATCAACCACGACCAAGAAATGGGCCTATTGGATAAAGCTTTTGATTGCAAGGCACCTCAGTTAGTTTTTGCAAACACTCTGCATGGTGCAGGTGTATTTTAAAGGAATGTAAAGCCGGCGGGGCTTTTTTTTTAAGCAAATCAGTACTGTTAGCTACAACTTGAGAAACATAAACCTTCGCACACTAACTTCTCAGAAATCTGATGCAAACTCCGTAAGGTCATGCTGGAAAAAGCTACTTGTATCAAAACATTTCGTTCCCGTTCTGTGCTAATCATATTTTGAGTATTAATGAAGACTTACTTGTTATTACCAATCCTAATAGTTGTAAAGCATAGAGAGACAATAATGTTGTAATGTAATGAAGATTCTGGAATCAGATTATCGTAACAGAAACCTGAATTCTTGTCAGGCAAGAGTGCCTCAGCATTGAAATATGTGATTTCGACAAAAAAGCACAACACCAAGTTTTTGTGGCGCCTCAATGCCGAGATCGCAATCCACAAGACGAAGAGGCAGTTGCAGCGAATAATGGGAGAACCTCGTTAAAGAGAACGAGTTGGCTGGTCATGCCAGGACACTAAGCTGTGAAATGAATAACACCTATGCAGTGTTTGCATCAGTGGTGCTTGTGTACGATAGAAACATACTCATCTTCTACTAAAAAAAGCGGTTGTACTTACTTCTTCTGGAGGATTTCATACGCAGTCCAAGCCAGTATAGCAACATAGAAAAGAGATATAATCTTCAGAAAAACTTCACGTAAAGTCATTCACTGTATATACTTCTTAAGCGTGAAAGCAACAATGTATCCTAGTCCACACTTGTTACGCTTGTAAAGTCGTTTCTGGACCCCATCTCATTCCGGCACGTGTCACTTTCACGTGGAAATTGATTGTGGGGCTTCATCTAAAGCCCCTGGCAGACTTCACGCGATTTGTTCGTCGCGACTGAATCGCGACCAGACAACTGTTACAACATCATTCCATGCCGATCAACTTGCATTCGGTTGTGATACTTTTCCAGCCCGAAATTTTTTAATGTGAAATGAAAATGAATGGAAATCTTGGCGATCAGATCGCGACGATTAAGTCGCGTGAAGTCTGTCCGGGGCCTAAAGCAGTGTTCAAGCTGCAGCGCGAATCATATTCACAGTCGAGAATTTATTTCCCATGTCTGCGCTACGCTGCTGCATAAGTTCTGTCCAGGGTCGAGCAAGAAGTGTGGCCAGAGGTGCGATGGGGAGCCGCGCCCATCAAAAGTAAAAGTGGTCTCAGCTACCACTGGTCGGCCACAAGTGAAGGTGGTAGTGCCGGACATTCATCTCCCAAAAACTTCGACGGGGGGGGGGGGGAGAGGGGGGGAGCGTTAACGTCGACTGAGCCTATCCTTCCAGGTCGTTGCCGCCAATGCGCGGAAAATAAGTAAAACAAACGCAAAAAAGGTTATTGAAAGCATGTTTTAATGTATACGACTGCATATATTTATATTTAAATAAACGTGTTTAGTAAATGGTGTATTTCGAAGTAAAAGTTAAAGGGACTGTACGGATTTTACTGAGTAAATTTTGTCGCAACGTACTGCGAAGAAAGTAGGTCGACCCAGGGAATAACCGCCGAGAACCAGAATTTTGAATAATAAAATAACTATAAATTATGCGAAATTTCCACTTTGTAAATCTTGCAGTTAAAGATGTCAGCAATTGCAACTTCATAGGTTTCAAAGAGTAAATGTGCTCTATCAGATAGCGAAAAGATCGAGTCGATTTGAGAGATAGTCGCCGACAACCAGAATTCTAAAAAAATTACGCCATTTTAGCATGCTCAATGACAGTTGACAGTTAAACTCACTAAATCTTGAAAGTAAAAGTGTGTGATGTTGCGACTTATAGGTTTTGTAAAGTAAGGTTTGCTTTATCAGAACGTATCTTAGCCGCACCGATCCATTGAAACAGCGCCGAGATCTAGGGTCTTAAAAAAGCAGGTAAAAAAGCGCTTTTTGAAATTCAACAGCTCATAACTTCTTAGAGCTGCATGAATCATGTTGCGACTTCATAGGTTAGATTCTATCATCAAGAGCTTTCAGATGATATATAATATGTGGGGGTTTAGAGCCTCCTACGACTTATGCCCGTGGGGGGAGACTTTTCATCACAAAGCCTCCCCCAAGCCCACTTTAATGTATTGGATGGAGGCTGCGAAGGGAGTCGAAGCCTCCCCCAAGCCCACTCTAATGTATTGGATGGAGGCTGCGAAGGGAGTTTTTCTGATGAACTCTCCCCTCGCGGGCATGAATCGTAGGAGGCCCTAAACCTCCACATATCATATAACATCTGAAAGCTCTTGTTGATAGAATCTAACCTATGAGGTCGCAACATGATTCATGCAGCTCTAAGAAGTTATAAGCTGTTGAATTTCAAAAAGCGCTTTTTTACCTGTTTTTTTAAGACCCTAGATCTCGGCGCTGTTTCAATGGATCGGTACGGCTAAGATACGTTCTAATAAAGCAAACCTTACTTTACAAAACCTATGAAGTTGCAACATCACACACTTTCACTTTCAAGATTTAGTGAGTTTAAGTGTCAACTGTCATTAAACACGCTAAAATGGCGTAATTTTTTTAGAATTCTGGTTGTCGGCGACTATCTCTCAAATCGACTCGATCTTTTCGCTATCTGATAGAGCACATTTACTCTTTGAAACCTATGAAGTCGCAATTGCTGACATCTTCAACTGCAAGATTTACAAAGTGAGAATTTCGCATAATTTATCGTTATTTTATTATTCCAAATTCTGGTTCTCGGCGGTTATTCCCTGGATCGACCTACTTCTTCGCAGTACGTTATGACAAAATTTACTCAATAAAATCCGTACAGTCCCGCTAATATTTACTTCTGATTTCACCATTTACTAAACACGTTTATTTAAATACCAGTGCGTCACCTCTGCTTCGCAGACTCTATTATCTAGGTCCCACTCATTCTCGTATAGTGATGGCATTGGAACTCACCGAGCAATGCCGACTATCACGAACAAAATGTAAACAATTACTCATTCCGAAAGCTTCTTAATTTGAAATCGGTGATTTCGCTTGGATGAGACTCTTTGCAGGAGAACAAACGCAAACTTTTATGGGTTTTTGATTTTTCTATGGTCTTGACAGTTACAATAAGAATAGCAGTTACCGTGAGCTAGATCCTTGTGCAAAAATCTCGTCAAATGCTCTGGTAAAACCTTGGCAAATTGACCATTTACGCAAACAATACTTTTTGGCGCCGTTTTTGTAAAGTAATGGACTTTTGATCACTTTTTGAGCCTAAATTCATGGCTTGCACATTTACTTGGCATAAACATCCGCGACTTTGCAGAAAGTGGAATTACGGACCCAATTTTGCGGCCCAAATGCAACGTAGATCCTTTTAACGCGCAGTTTCTGTGAGATCCACCCAACGAATCCGCTCGTGCTTCTGTGTGTTGGACTTTCATGTGGGTAGCATGCGTTGTGCAAAATTTCAGCTCAGGACGTTGGCTGGAACACGCTTTACGAATTTCGTAACAGACACACTCTCACACACACAGACAGACACACAAAGTCACGTAAACATCTTAGCCCGTTATTATAAGTAATGATATATGCCGCCGTATACATAAAAATATGCTTTCAATAATCTTTTTCGCGTTTGTTTTGCTTATTTTCCTTCTTTATCGTCCAGCGAAAAAATTTTTTTCCAAAAGTAAAGCTGGTCACCCTGCACCAGCTCAAAGTGAAGGTAGGGGGAGAATCGTCTCCCACTATCGCACCTCTGAGCGTGGCACACAACCGCCGGATACGACCCCCCCCCCGCCCTAGGTTCTGTCTTGATACCCCTCCTCTTCCATTTTCGTTTGCCCACCGCAGGCTTGACATAAATGCTCTACCAAGCATAATCATTAATAAATTCGTACATGTAAAATCCCTGTGAGCCAAGTTTTAACGAATTCTGTGGATTCCAATATTGGGCCGCTTGAAGTGAAGAGGCCATTTTCAAACATGGTTAACTATCATAACTTATAATAACGGGCTAAGGATGTTTACGTGTTTTTGTGTGTGTGTGTGTGTGTGTGTGTGTGTGTGTGTGTGTGTGTGTGTGTGTGTGTGTGTGTGTGTGTCTGTGTGTAAGTCTGTCTGTCTGTCACGAAACTCGTAGAACGTGTTCCAGCCAACCTCCTGAGCCCAAATTTTGCACAGCGCATGCTGCCAACATGAGTGCTCACCATACTAAAGCACGAGCGAATCCGTTGCGTGGATCTCTCAAAAAATGCACGTCTATCGGATTCACTTAGCTTTTGGCCAGTAAAATTGAGCCTCTAGCACAACTTCTTGCAAAGTCACGGATATGTTTGACAAGTTAATGTGCAAGCCATGGACTTCAGCCTAAAAATTTGAACTAAACTTTATTACTTTGCGAAAACGACGCCAAAAAGGATTGGTTGCGTAGATGTTCAATTTGCCAAGATTTTACCCTATCATTTGAAAAGATTTTTGCACAGAGATGTAGCCCACGGTCATTATTGCATCTTTTGGTGAACACCGAGTCATGAAAAGTCCAAAAACCTATTCAAATTTGCATTTGTTCTTTTGGAAAAAGTTTCGTTCAAGCGAAATTACCGATCTCATTTGGAAAAGCTTTTGGAATGAATAGTTGTTTACAAACTATTCGTGATAGCTCGAGTTTCAATTTCTCTATTGTCGAAGAATGAGTGAGGCGTGCAGATAGTAGGACCAGTGCGAGCCTCTGCGAAGCAGAGGTGACGCACTGGTATTTCAAAAGTGAATTAGCTACCTCTTTCTATTCAGTACAAAGCACTACTTCCTATTTGCCATATCGTAAATTCTGCTTCAAATAACAATCTTACTATCAAAAGAAGCCAGCAAAAATCTCATTTGTCCAATTTTTTCGCTTAGGCCTCGGGCGGAGTTCACGCGATCGTCGCGATTAATTGCTACAAGACAACTGTAACAATATCATTGTATGCCGATATTCTTGTATCTCGGTTGTGATAGTTAGTCACGATTAGTCGTGTTGGAAAACTATCACAATAGTGACGATCAAATCGCGTGAACTCTGCCTGAGGCCTTAGGCCCCGGACAGACTTCACGCGATTTGATCGTCGCGACTGCATCGTGACGAGACAACTGTTACAACATCATTCCATGCCGATCAACTTGCATTTCGATTGTGATACTTTTCCAGCCCGAAATTTTTGAATGTGAAATGAAAATGAATGGAAATGTGGGCGATTGAGTCGCGACGATCAAATCGCGTGAAGTCTGTCCGGGGCCTTACAGTGTGGTTGTGCTTCCAGCAACTAACGCTCAAACGAAAGAAGCCGGAATCAGCTCTAATCACTTTTTACAGAAATTACATAGTTTTGATTATGGAACTCTTTATAACTTGTTCCCTAAAATTGTCTTTGAAAGTAAGTCAGTGGGGTGTAGCACAACCCCAGAAAAGCTGTGGCTGCCACACCCACATTAACTTACTTCAAATCGTTCAAATATCTACGTTTTTATATTGTTTGTAATACTTAACCTTCTTCTTTATACAGTAGGAATTTTTCTAAAATTTTTTCTTCTTGGAAAATATGTAGTTCCTTTTTCTTACCTATGCAAATGGAGAATACTGCGGAGATTCTGGGCAACAGTAACATGCTAAGGCATGCACTGCATAACTTGCGAGGGAAGACGACGTATATTTGAAGCCTAAGTTTCGTAATTTAAACAAAAGTGAGGGGGCGGGGTCGTTGGTTCTCTCTAGTCCGATATATGGGAAAAACGAGATTTTGCTTTGCTCTTAATTCCTTGGTTCGGAGGCTATTTGATGTGGGAGCCCTAATGTGAGCAGGAAGTAGAAGTTCTTCGTATTAGGTGCAAAAGAAGTAGTTAACTCACCTCTGAAAGAAGTTAACATGTTCGAAAATGACCCATTGTGCTTGGGTGGCTCAATATTTTGAAATCTCAGAGTTCGTTGAAACTTGGCCCACAGGAGTTAACTGACATGCTAATTATAAAATGATGCTCTTATTTTTTAGGGCTTTTTATATGCTTACTGTTCTTACGATGATAGGCCAAAACATAACGTGTTAGTATTTTGCATGATAGGCCTATCTGACATTGTAAACGAATCATGTTATCGCTAACAGCAGAATCACCTCGATAACGCCCCAACCCCCTCCTTGACCCCTCAATACGACCCCCCCCCCCCAGGTGTGAGCCACACCCCACGCTTGACCGTGCTGGTTATCGTGACCTTTTGAAATTTGTTATATATCAGAATGCTCGTCTTAAAACGCTAAACTTGAAACTACTTCGTTATCTGCGGAACGCTTTTCTGGGAAAAATAGCGCTCGAGAAAGCGAACTTATAGGCTGCTGCATGACGAAGGCGCAATATCTTCGGGTGCGAACGCGGGTTTGTTAGCCGCAGAGCGCATAACGCGCAGGATTTACAACGATGAGGATAGGCGCGCGCCGCGTTCGCACCCTCTCAGCTAATACAGCTTCTGCGCCTTCGTCATGCAGTAGCCTTTGAAAGTTTCGGCACTGACAGAGATCAAACCGGCATCCATTGCGCAATAATCGACACAGCTAACCGCTCGACCACTCGACACCTTGAGCACATAGCGACACTTGTATACTCTATCGCAAATTGACAGATGCGAGGAGATAAGGTTTTTCTGAAGAATCAATCAATTTTCCTCAACTAAAGGATAATTGACGTTGTATCGTCGACGACCGCCCCGTTTCGCGCATTCACATCACGGTGCGTGTGCGTTTCTAGAACCTTTACAGCTTTACAGTTAAAGCAGCTGCAGAGTGCGGGGAATTGGAAGCTCGCAGCATCCTTCTCCTTTAACCTCCTTGCATTCTTAGCTTTCATTTCAGGCAGTTACTCGTCTCATGTCTATGTAAGAACATCGCGCCGGGCAAAGTCGGAAGACAGAACGGGTTTCTTTCATAGTTGCAGTAGTGGAAATCGCGGCTACGATTGAGAGGGCTTGCTTTCTTAAATGTTCTATAAAAAACTGGAGTGGTAATAATATGGTCGAAACCATCATGTTAACTGTGTTTTCATGACACCAGCTAATCAGCAGCTTCACATCATTTTTTCAACGAAACCACGAATTGACCAATAGTAAACCGAAATGCTATCTTGCAAAGCAAAGTCATTGGAGGAGATCGAAACTCCAACCATTCTCATGCTTGTCGGCAATCATTGCACTTTACCAAATTTGCAGTTCGGTCTCCAGCCTGGCACCTTCCTATAACCTTATCTAGGCTGTAAACAAGTAAGCTTCTCAAAGTAAGTTGCAGAATGATCTCCCTCACTCTTCTTAACTTGCAAAACCAACACATCATTGTTTCAAACGAAAAAGTGGTCGGGGGTACTTTTTCATTTTAAACTATGATATGGTGGTTTCATGTCTACGTCTCATGAAATGAAATGCTGTTTTTATTAGTCTACCTGATAAGGAAACAATGGTGTTAACCTGCTGATTAATTCATAGTTTGGTTTAGAATGAAACAAGCATGAAGCAATTATGGTTTTTCGAAAGTAACTTGCATCTTATATATAAAGCTGAATGTCTGTTTGTATGTCTGACTGTCTGTATGTGTGTACGTATGTTCCGAATAGAAAATTCCATTTCTGAACCGATCCGGACCAAACTTGGCACACATACACTTCGGGCCCCGGTGGGTGTCATAGGCTACTTTTCGTCATCGATCGATATCGATTTTATCGATTTTTATCGATTTTTTTTGCTGAGTTCACCTACGGGGCTCGGAGTTGGCACAGGGGGGTAATCGAGCATGGGGATTCTGAATACAATATTGGTTTTCGGGATTATCGATTACTTTTATCGATTTTATCGATTTTTTTGCAAGGGGGTGATCAGCATGCTCGATTACCCCCCTGTGCCAACTTCCAGCCCCGTAGCTCAAATTTTGCAAGAAATCGATAAAATCGATAAAAGTAATGGACGATCTTGAAAACTAATATTGTATTCGTAATCTGCATGCTCGATTGCCCCCTGTGCAAACTCCCAGCCCCGCAGGTCAAATTTTACAAAAAAATTGATAAAATCGATAAAAGTAATCAATAATTCTGAAAACTAATATTGTATTCGGAATCCCCATGCTCACTTCCCCCCTTGTGCCAACTCCTAGCCCTGTAGGTGAACTCTGCAAAAAAATCGATAAAAATCGGTAAAATCGACATCGATCGATAACGAAAAGTGGACTGTGACACCCGCCGGGGCCCGAAATGTATGTGTGTCAAGTTTGGTCCGGATACGGCGGAGCCGGGTAAGCCAGCTAGTGTTTCATAATTTTGTATGACCGATTGAACTGAACGGCCGTAAGAAGATGATCATGCTTACCACGATGTAATCATGATTAAACCATCACATCATTCGTTGGTTTCGACCATATTACTACACACTCCTGCCATTTTCTTGGGACAGACCACTGAAGTGGTTATTTCAGCACTCCTACATTGTAGACATCATGTAGAGTGCTGAAGTAAGCATTTGCGTGGTCTCATTTGAATGAAAGACATGATACCACCACGCTTATAAAGAAAGCTTTCTCTTAACTTTGCCAGAGGCGATGGTTGGCGATGGTTCACGATTGAGAGTTCGGTAGTAAAAGGGAAAGGAATTTGAGAAGTGTGCCAAAACTCATTTTCTCCTGACCCTTCAGTATCCAACAAAGTAGGACTTGAAGGTTATCGATCATCAAGAAAACGTGGAGGAAAGGGAGAACGAGACTGCCTTAAATGAAAAAGATGAAAAATGATAAAAAATGCTCAATTAATAAGAGGTTAAAGGACAGGGACATTGCGAGCTGCCAATCCCCCGCGTGCTGGAGCGTAGTGTAAAGCTGGAAAGGTCCCAAAAAACACTGCGGTGGTCTAAATGCACGAAACGGGGCGGTCGTCGACGGATATCCTGTAAACACAGTTTTGAAATCAATGTTCAAAGCGAATGTCATGATCACGAATAGCCACGGTAACCAAGTACTTTTTCCCCGTCAGCAGCAAGCCTATCTTTCTTTCCTCATTTGATTAGGAAAGGTAGTGGTGCAAGTTGATGCATATCTTAGATAATTCCTTATTAGAATCCTGCAAAAATGGTTCAATGCTCGTTAATGGCAATGCAACGTCAATATCACCTTAGGTGACCTTCGCATCTTATTCAGGGCAAAGTAAAAGTGATATTCTGTCATTTTACAAAAACCGAGGACTGAAAAAATCTGGTGATGATGCTGGATTTAGCGGAAGCGTTTTCTACAGCTCATCTGATCTGCTGCTTACTAAAAATCTGTGTTTTCTACGCTACACTATTAGGCAGAGCGATAATGAAAACCATAAGTGTGTGTAAATTTCATTTCGCCTGTTCCTTTTTGGCCTTCTCTGGTGAGTTTTTTGCATGAGTTCCACGAATCAAAGTTCTTTGAAAAAACTAATTGTCGGATGGAACTTTCTGACGCTTATTATGCTTCATTATAAGGAAAGTGAGCAAACCGTCAATGCAAGCTTCCTCATTATTTTTTGTGAAAAGAGCGAATAATCGCATTGGCGACACTGCGTCCTAAAAAACATGTGGTACGCCGCTTACAAAGTTTTCTACTACTCGCTTGAGGCCTTATAGGTTTATTATGGCAGCGGTGATAGGCATTAAAGTGAAGAAGGCAAGGCTATAGGAGAACCTTATTATTAAAGGGAAAACTAGCTGAATGTCTTAATGAGAAAGTGAATTTGCACACAACCGATACTATGCTTACAAATCAGTCAAGTGAGAATTCAACTTTGTATCAATCCTTGTCAAAGCTTTCAAAAGAAGCAACTGTGTGCAAACAAAACCATATCGGCGTTTGCGTGTAAATGTATAAAGATTTGAGGAAACCTGCGAACCTTGCAAATTTCCCAAGTTCCGTGGAATTTTTGGTACTATTCCGTCATTCAGACCCATTTTTTTGAAAAGCTTTCATGAGGTACGTACTTTGTTTCTAATAAGAAAAGCTACCTCACTTAGCTCAGTCTTTTGGCAAGAGACATATGCATTCTAAATCAGCTTTGAACGCTGATTCCAAATACGCTTTTCCTAGCTGCCGCGCACCATTCTAAAGCGAGTTATGGACTTTTTCCTGCGCAAAATTGGCAAGCTCATCGATTCACTGTACACTTGCTTTGAGTTTCTTTTTAGCGACAAAAGATTGGATTTGTATTTCGATGCCTCAGCACGTTCTGTATATACCCTCGATATCATCCCATACGTCTTCCCTCAACATGACGTGGATTACGTGGCTTGATGAGGCGCCGCCTCGCCTCGGGCTTGCTGTGCGCATTTTCGACGTGATGTAGCAACAAGAAGAACGTGGAAAAGCCTGCGCCACGTTGTGTTGAGCGCCACGTCGCGCCAAATGATGCGCTCGCAACATGGCGCGAGCCCGAGGCGAGGCGGCGCCTCATCAAGCCACGTAATCCACGTCATGTTGAGGGAAGACATATGGGATGATATCGAGGGTATATGTCTCTTGCCAAAAGGCCGAGCTTAGTTAGGTAGCGTCCCCTGTAAGAGCAATTTTCCATAGAATCTACGATGGCTGCCTACACGCCACGTGTCAGAGAAAAATTTGACACGGCTTAGTCCATTTCGACATGTTTTTTCGTAAACATTTCCAATGAGGTAAAAGAGATTTTGTAATTACCTGAAAGCTGTTTAACTGTTTTCTATAAGAGCAAAACATCCTGGAACCATTATTAGAATGTCTTGATCACTTCTAGCAAACATTCAAGATTCTTTCTCTTCAAACTTTCCGCCATGCAAGTTTAGCCAAGAAAGATTTTGAATTATGGCTTGAAGTACCTCGCTGCTGCTTGTTTCGTTGCTTCAATAATGGAACCTTAGCGCACTTGTTTATTCCGGGCAGGTCTAGTCTGTTTATTGATAACAGGATGACGTTATTAAATAAAAATGTTATTCGGAAATTGTTTGATCGAAGATGGGGCTAATATTGACTACAAAAGTTGAACTTACGCCGGTAAGGCAACACAAACTCTTGGTAAAATATTAGGCACGTAGATGGCATGTAAGATTTTTTTTTGACATGTGGCAGAAAGTTTACACTCTTTTCCATGATGTTGGGACCAAATATGGTACAAGGAATGAAGCACTATCCTTCTTTGAAAAAATGGGTCCGGATAACGGAAAAGTAGCGAATTTTTCTCATTTCATTCGTAACCGTATCTTGCTTACATACACGCTTTTATGACAATCCTAATAGTGCGAAGCAAATCAAGGGCTAAATTTTGCGACTTAGAGTTTGGCACGAGGACTGATGTCCACCTAATTCCATGGGAAATTCTAACTGTTTCTACCGTTGATCACTTCTTACATTTTTATCCCTGAAAACAAAAGCGCTTATAAGGGTAGATAAAAGTGCTAGTCATAAACAAAATAGTTACCGAATTCCTTATCAATACAAAAAAATAAAGATTTTTTTCGAAAGAGTACAAAAATTAATGCACGAGGGTAAATCTCTGTGCACAACATTCTCGGGGGGGGGGGGGGGGGGGGGGGGTAATGGTGTTCATCCCTAAAATTAGTTGAGAAAGTCGCGCAATTTAGAAACACCGGCTAGTAGCAGCGGAGTGGTACTAGCAACCGGCTTAATTTCTCTACATAGTATGACTGTAGAGAAATTAAGCCCATGGGTGCGGGAACTTAGGAAGCTAGCAGTTTCGGCTAAGAGCCAGTTCTAGTGACTTGAAGTTCAATGCGCTTTTCAGCATTCCTTAATCAGGCTTCAAAACAGGCTCTCAGAAGGGCGGGGCTTAGTTTGTCGCCATGTCCTGGGGAGCAATCGATAGCAAGCATGACTGTATCCTGCAGCCCCGAATGGAGTTAATTAAGCTCGGTTCCTAAGTGTCGCCAAACGACAACAAGTAAACAAGCAATGCGAGGTTTGCAAGATACCGCACTCTCATATTTGCAAACTTTAAAAAAAAAAATTAACGACATACTACACACGAGAACATACTTCATACAATAATACATACATAAAAATATAGGTATACAATAAAATTTAAATGCATTAACAAAAACAAATTTCAAGATTAAAATACATATCAAAAACTCACGCTGATCGCAAAAGTAGTTGATCCAAATCCACTCGGCTTTGGCCAAGTGAGCGGGAATTTATCGTCTTTTTTATCATATCTAAAAAATACTTTGATAATAAAATATATAATTTCAATTAAAGGACTTACTCTAAAATGTGTAGCACATCTTCAATTACCAAGTCGAAATTCTTTTTCATTGCTATTGGAAGATTCACGATCTTGACGAATTCTTCCATTACCCTGATGTTGACTGCCTCCACAAAGCGTTCTTTACGCTCAGACAAATCCATCTGCAATCAATTAATTAGTTAGTAGTTATTTATTTAAAATAAAAGGCAATGCTATGTCAAAATGCTCTAAAATAACACAATTACATAACAATAAATTTCGAATGAACTGGCCTAAAAAACTGAAGTCAAAAAATTCTTTTGCTGCGTAACCTAATTGAGTATCTTTCACATGTCATTAGAGCACATTTTGATATGATGACCAAAGAATTAATACTTTTTGACACTTTGATATTATTATATACTGGAAATCAATGTATAGGTAATACTGTAGTTTGTATATCCTTACATATAATTTGGGTCGAATCTTTTATTCTCTTACTATTCAAAATATTTAAATAAAACTACTAAAATAATCCCAAATACACTAAACATAACAACTTACTAACTACCGTTAACTGATTAATGTACTAGTAATAATATATTATGTTTATACCAATAACAACCCCTTTTTTTCACTCATACTAACCGAAAACTGCCTAATTGTAAACCCATATCTATATTTTTAATTGTGCCATACACATAAGGGGTTAGGTTGTGTTTACCTTATACTAAGGTTAGTTTATTCTTCATTCCTTCTATTTCATTTCAATAATACTACCGATGGGGTTCACACAAGTAGCTACTGGCAAGGGAGGGTAAGTACTACGCCTCCGGTGTATTATTTTTTTAGGGAGCGCCACCCCCTGGAAGCAGCCCTTCCGAAACCTAGAGTAACCTTCCCTCTGGTATGGGATTAGGCCGTTCTTTACCTTAGATTTTTGGCTTAAAAACAAAAGTACGCAAACTATTCACACTTCATCTTCTTACTTTCAGGGTACGTTCTTCAAAAGGATTAAGGTAAACGGCGAATACAACCTACTGCAGTTTGGAAATGATAATTTAGGCACTACTTGTAATAATTCATGCAATATCTGTACAAACATATTAACTCCTAACAATTTCATAAAATCTAACACGACTAAGCTAAACATCAAAACGTATAAGACTTCAAATGCAAACTGTAACTCAACACACTTGGTATACTGCCTTACATGTTATGATTGTGGACTGCAGTATGTTGGTATTACCAAAAGAAAACTTAGTGTTAGAATAAAAGAGCATTTACGGGGAATCAAAAGTAAGCATGACAATAAACTTTTTTATAAACATTTCAAAAATAGTAGTTGCAATCCTAATAATATTACAGCTATAATATTGGATAATTCACCAGAAAATGTTGATCAGAATATACTTAGAGAAAAAGAACTTTTTTGGATAAAACTATTAATGACACCTATGCCCTTTGGCTTTAATGATAACATAAAAGGTTACGGAAACCTAACCATGATTGAGAACCCATTAAATCATAAAATTAATCATCCATTTTTCAATCTTAGCATATCTAAAGACAGAAATAATCGAGGGAATAATAAAATCAATAAAAAAAGAAAACCTATATCCAGACAATCTATACTTGAAGAACTAAAAAATTTCATCAATCATTCCCCGACATATTATGAACTCTATAAATTCATTAAAAATAAAAATAAATATTATATTTCTTCACTAATCAATATATCAACCTTCAGTCCTGAATTTCTAGATATACCATCTAATTTTAAGTATGCATTATATAGTATACTCTGTCATTACCATTTTAGCAAAGTACCCGACAAAAAAGCTACTACCACATATATGAATATAAAATTTCCTTATTATGATAGCATTTTAGATAATACCAATATAAACAAAATAGTAAATAACACATCTATCATAAACCACATAAAAACATACAGCTCCAAATCTTATCAACCTATTAGAATAATATATGAATACACAAAATATGCTTCTAGTATCATATATAATTATAATAAATTCCTTAATAATCTTCACAACCTTAACATAGACGACGTTCCTTGTATTTGTAATAATTACCAGCAATATGTAGAACCTACACATAAACATGTTGTCACAGGAGATATAAACATATTCAAAACTGAACCTATATATGATGTTTTGAATAAAGGTACAAAAGTAAGATATCCATATAGATATTCTGCAGAACAAATCAAAAGCTTATGGCTTGATCTATTTAACAGAATTTGCAAAAAATACAAAACAAAATATTCTTTAGACGATGCTGTCTCAAATACCATACAAAACGAATTATATAGACATTTTCTAAAAAACTATAGTAGATTAATTTATAATATTGATAATAATAATTATAGCCTTCCTATTTCGAATATTAAACACTATCAAAAGTTCTTCATATTTTGCCCTTTAGACAAAGCTAGTTCGAATTACGGCATTATTTGCAAAAAACTTTATCTCAAAATATTAATGTCAGAAATGGGATTGATTAACATGACAAATACTTCTCCTATTTATGATTATCTTGGAACATTAGACATTGGTAACATCATCACAAAACATATGCAATTTTCTAAAAACCATAATCTCAAATTTAATGAAAGTTGTACTATTCCAAATATTTATTGTATTCCAAAATTACATAAAAATCCGGTTAAATTTAGATTTATTACAGGTGCTTCGAACAGCAGTATTAAACCTTTATCTGAAGAACTAATGCATATTTTCAACTTTTTTCGAAACCATTTTAAGAACTATACTAATATTGTATACATTAATAAAAATTGTCTTGATACATATTGGTCTATAAATGATATTAATATATCCCACAAACTTAACCATATTAATGCAAAAAACCTTAAACTGTTTTCAGCCGATTTTACTAACATGTTTACAAACATTCCTCATAAAATAATTATCAACAATCTAAAAGAGATTCTTAAAATATGTTTCAAAAATAGTAATAGCAAATATGTAGTTTGTAACAATAACAAAGTTAGTTACTGCAACTTTTACAATGAAAAAACAAGACAAAGGGTTTACAAAATCGAAGACATTTTGTACCTTGTTCAATATTTATTAGAAAACAGCTACTGTAAGATTGCAAAACACATTTTCATACAGAAAGTAGGAGTTCCACAAGGGGGTAATGCTAGTCCTATTCTAGCAGATTTGACGTTATCTTATCTTGAATATAAATTCGCCATTAATCATCCTAAAAATAATATCCTATTCAAACCTTTCAGATATATGGATGATTTATTGATTATACATAACTTAAAAGAGGAAAGTATAAATAAATGGTTGATTGATACCTACAATAATATATTAGAGTTGAAAAATACACACCAAAGCGAATTAGAATGTGACTTTCTTGACTTAAAAATAAGAATCGTAAATAATAAAATTATTACGCAACAATACAACAAAACAGATTACTTTATGTTTAAAGTTAATAGATTTACACATGCATCTTCACATATAAGTGTAAATGTCAAAATATCAACTATAAATAGTGAGATTCTTAGAATTTATAGAACATGTACAAATTTCGAAAGTTTTCTACATAGATTATTAATACTCTTTAAACAACTCAAGGATTTAGGCTATACACAAAATATAATTACCAATTCCTTTATAAAATGCTTCACTTTCAACAAATGTATTTCATACAAATATATAGAACTTCAGTCCTTCAAAAATGTCAAAAATTTTGTTAAATTCGTAATTGATAGACTTGATCATTGTTAATCCTTTGATCTTTTTGCCCTACCAAACCGGTATAAATTGCTAGGACTATACCACTATTAGTAGTTAACCACTCTTCCCTACTGAAGAGCCTCGGGAGTGGTTTTCATTTATTGTATTCCTGTATAGGGGTAGAGGCGAAACAGGCTTAACAGTAACCCTTTATGTTAATTATTTATTTTTTACTTTAGGTTGTCAAAAACAGCGCGACCGAGTGACTCAGGGCGGCAGCTGCGCCAAATCTGATTTTTCAAGAAAACAGGAAATCTAAAACAAGCTAAAACTCAAGTATTTTAGAGGAAATGACAAATATCATTAATTCACTTTTGATCGCATACATATTTTGTGTAGTCATTATGCCTCTGTGTCATTACTATTTTGGCATCTCACAGTCCATTGTTATGTAGTTTTAGATACATCTTGCTTATTTGTTTATTGTTTATTTACCCTTAGTAAATGGTTTAATTACCCACGTTTGAGTTGAGGTACGCATCACCACGAGTCAGCAGCGTGGCATCTATTATTATCGATGGTATTAGAGGGTTATCGTTCTGAATATATACCGTGTACTCAACTCACTACCTAAATTCCGTCCCCGAGCGCAGGTTGCGGAGCACTCGCGGCGCAGCTAAAATGTTACGGGGGACGTACAGTAGCGACTTGTACTGAGTGGGATAGTAGCACTAAAGGGCATTCCAAAAGTCTATGTCATACACGTGGGTGGAAATTTGTCCTTCTGGATATATAGAAAACACACACTAAATTTGTTTTGAGCTATTTATTGCGTCGTCGCAAAAGTTCTTTCGTTCTACCTATCAAAAGGCGTGGGGTAAAGATGACAGACACTTTGAGGACTATTCGATCAGCTTTTCTTCTCCTATCCTGTACTTATGTTCTGAGATCTTTTGTTACTACGACTTGCAGAAGTTTTGAGCCCATAATTTTTACCTTGCCCAAGTTAGGCGATTTTTCAGATTTGTTATTTCGAACTTCCAGAGGACTGAGGACCTTACTTACAGGCCGTGTCTTGGGAAAAATCGATTTCGAGATTTTTTGCTTATGTGGACCTATCCGCTATGCTCGATCCGAAAATCCATACTAGAGGGCACAAAAACGGCAGAAATGGCTCTAACGCAAGAAGAATTTCAGCAGGTGGTCGAGGTCTTCCACCTTGTAAAGCCACGGTCCCAGCTTCCGGAGCAATCTTCTCGGTTTCGGTTACGCGTTAACGCTTGGCTGGTGGCGATGTCAGGGTGGCTAGCGGTAGCGGGAAGATCGCTTCGGAAACGGGAGCGTGACTTCACGGAGTGAAGACTCCCCCCCCCCCCCCTCCCCCACCTGCTGATTTATCCTGCGTTAGAGCCATTTTTGGCCGTTTTCGCGCTATTCAGTGTGGATTTTCGGATTCAGCATAGCGAATAGACCCAGAGAAGCAAAGAATCTCAAAATCGACTTTCTGCCTGGACACTGCCTTTAACAGCTGCGCGGAGCAAAGAAAGTGCAGCACTATAAGTTTTTTTGGCATCTCCACCTGGCTTTTCAAAATTACCAAAATTATTTTTCTGATGTGTAGAATCCCATATTTGGTTCATCCAGACCTTACCAACAGACCACCGACAAGCAACTTGTGCACTGTTCGGTGCAGCTTTTTTCCTCTTTCTGATAGCCGTTTCTCCTCCGAATTTGTGGAACTTGTGGAGTGAATCGTCCAGATTGTGAATTTTTGGACGCGCCTATGGATATAATGGAATTTGAAATGTCTATATCTGAAAGCGAACAAAGTTTATTCGCTTAGTAGAACTAGCGTTGAACGATAATCGGTTGTTTTTGAGCGGCGGCCAAGATTGTTCTTGAACAATTCATTGTTTAGCTAAGGTTTCGGCGATGAAGCCGTCTTCAGAGCTTGTAACCAAAAACGTATATGTGAAGTGCCAGCTGAGTGTCTTCGTTATTATATCGAACTGTTGAGCATCATACCGTCAAAATAGACCATTTCTCACTTATTCGTCATCGAGGATCTAAGTGCTCGTGATCAAGCTGTGCAGAATGTGATGGTATGCCTTGTTCTTCATAATGCTTATACTTCGACGATCAAAGCCGCAGAGGCTTTGATATGGTGATAATTTTTTGGCTACGGTAGTACATCCTTCATTTTTGTTCATTTTGAGGTTACGCGATGTACATTTTTGTTACAGGCCCTGAAGACGACGTCGTCAGAAACGTTAGCCAAACAATAAATTGTTTTAATACCGATCGTGACCGCCGTTCAAAGACAACTTATGAGATATTTAAATTATGCAAAGATTTATCGAAGGTCGAACTTGAATATGATCTAGTTTTTAAATTCTTGAATTCCGAAGATTTCTCAGTGTTGGATGCTTTCGCGCCTCATTTCTGGAAAGTTAGTTGAAACATCAAAAAATTTGATGTATTACGCTTTGTTTAATTTATCCGCAGTGACAGCTCTTTCAAAAGTGGGGACTCAAAGTTTTGAAAAATTGCCGAACTTGGATGTGCCGAAAACAATGGATTCGCAATTTTGGCACCACAAATGCAAACGGTTTGGAAACACGATTGCTGGAAAGAGGCAAAAGTTGCATCGAATCGTCTTTAAGATGTTTGCGCTCCTTTATCCTATGTATTTTTACCACAAGTGAAAAATAAGGGAAAGAACTTTCGGAACGATATATAATGGGCTGTCAGGATAATAATGTTGCATCATGTAGCATCATGTACTATCGCGTCATGACGAAAACCAACAAAGCGTATACCATTCAAAGAGCATAGCAAACGTTGCAAAATAATCTTTGAACGACTGTGCCATTTTAATCAAGAATTTCAAGCCAAAATCTGAAAAACTAAGTTGAAAAGTGCCTGAAAAATTGAGAAAATGGATTTCCGTCCAAAAAACCCTAGTTGTAAGAATCTCCCAAGCTCACGCAAAGTTTTCTTCACGTCAGCAATGTGTATGTACAATTCTGTATTTTCTTGGCTAGAAGTCGAGAATGCGAAGATTTTCTGCGTTTTTCGAAGCAATGGTTTTCCACGTGAATAATTCTAGACTACTGAAAAACATAGGTCAGTTCTACGAGGCTGGTTTACAAGTGAAAATCTGCAAATATAAGCTAAGTTTGGTAGTTTTCGAAAACTGTCTTGTGAAATTCCGAAAATCTACATCTACTATCAAAAAATATCATTATTGCTTCAGCGACTCACAAATAGTTGTTTTCTTTTCAACCAAGAAAAAAGTATAAGATTGAACATATAAATGAGCTGGAGACTCTTCAATGGAAAGCATATGCTTGAAATGAGTAATCCATACAATTTTCTTGAACAAATATCCCGTTTTTCTCTGGCATTTAAACTTTCTGGACTTGAATTATAATTCAAGTGAAATTGAGGGAGTTTTCGTCATCTTGTAGAGTGTGACTTATCCGGTCAAATGATATCCTGTAAAAGCACTTTTTTGTGTCCTGACCTTGCGATAGTACATAATAGCGTACATTGGATGTTGTTTACCAGAGAACCCAGCAGTACAAACAGTTGTATACCTAGGTAACGATATCCATGTTCATCGAATTACTTGATAGTAGGGCACAGCTGAAAATATATTTGGAAAGAATTTTCTAAATACAACGGAATCAGTCAAACAAAGGATGCACTACGACAAGTGTGTTGCTTATAAAAGTCGGATAGAGGCTAAACCACTTCATCATTACTCTTAGGATGAGTTGTCTTCTCCTATATCTCCTATGTATAATATCAGGTAGAGTGAGTGCTACCCTAACCGAAACGATTCAAAAGTCAGATGGAGTTGAAACGGTAAGCACTGATACATCGATCCCTCGACTCTCAACTCTGAAATCAACTTCTATTATAGGGTCTGAATAGGAATGACCTTGTCGCTCAGTACGAACGACTTGAAGCACACGAAAGTGAAATTGAAGAAAGCCTCCAGCGTAGTCCACAACAGGAACAGATTTTGGAGAGAATCGTGAGAGTAAGCGAAGGAGATTTCTTATATTTCTTATTCAAGAGGAACTGTAATTTGGTTGAGAATGTTATATTATAGAGTACGCCGGTAGAAGAAACGACCCATTTTAGATCAATGGGAGATACCATAGAGGAAGTCAACAGACATGCAGGATTAGGAAAACTTTTGTATCAGAGTGACATTGTGTTAACAGAGTATGTGTTATAATTTACATTAGGAACTGTGGTGACCTATTGAGTGATTTGCAGCGAACAATTCAACGATATTATTGATGATATTGAAGCGAAGAATGGTCGAAAGAAACGCCAAGCCGTCAACAAAAAAATACATGGTGAACAAGTGTGGCCAAATGGCGTTGTTTATTATTATTTCCATTCACAAATAAGTGAGGTTTAATTTACGTCGTTTGACAAAAGCAAACTAAATCTATTTAGACGTAAACATATCAAGGCTATTCATGAAGGGGATAGCTCAATGGTCGTCACAAACCTGCATTGATTTCGTCGAAAACAGATTTGGTACTTAGAGATGGAAGATCAGCACGATGTTTAACTTCTGTCATTTAGCGATCACACGCATTCAGATAGCCTCTCATGAAGAGGGTTGCTGGACAACTGTGGGACCTGTAATGTACAAAGCGCAACGACTTAATTTAGGAGAAGGATGCGATCTGGTGAGCAATAAGTGATGTGATGCAAACTACTTATAAAATCAACTATCCGCCTTCCATCTTTCTGTGAATCAATGTCCATATGGTGTCTATATGTGATGCAAACTACATTATACTGCGAAATCACTGAATCAAAGCGCTGTCTTTGACAATCAGATACCTGTGCTAGTTATCTTCACAGATTCAGTGAAGTGGACGGCTTGTCACTTGAAGGCAAACATACTACCCTAAAATCCGTACAATAAGTCCGCCTATCAGATAAGTCCGCAAAGGAAGTAACAGTTAAGTCCGCTTTCTTGACAATGAGAGTCGCCCTCGCGCCGCCAAGAGTCCTGCAGATAAGTCCGCTTTCTCATGCCCAGGATAGGCGAACTTATCTCCTGGGACTTATCTGATAGTGGATTTCGGAGGACTTATCTGGTAGACTTTTGGCGGCGCAGAGGGCGTTTTTTCATCGATTTTTCGCGTCGAAACTGCAGATAAGTCCGGACTTATTGTACGGATTTTAGGGTAGTTCCTTGTGGTCATTATTGCCCAAGCCAGTACGAGGCAAACAGATATAATGACAATATCAGAGGATGCGCGCGTTCTCTATGCACTTCCTAGATTTACAATATTTTCAGGTGTACGCTTCCTAGATTTACAATATTTTCAGGTGTACAAGCCGCATTTGTTTACTTTGAACGCGAGCAATCCGCGCATCGCTGCGCATGTGTCCTGCGAAGCGGTCGCTTTCCTACTATCTCCTCAGTTGAAGGCAGCGTACAGACAACTCTGGACATCTTTGAATCTCAAGTGAAAGTAGTTTTGGGGCCCTACTAAGGGCCGCATGCACTAACATCTCCGCTGGGGAGGGGAACGCAGCTTAACACGTTTCGGACCGGTGCTGCACATGGTGCAGCACGCAGTTTTGAAGGGTCTTTTTAAACTCTACTGGAGGTTTTCTTTTTGTCCAAGGTTATCAAGTCAAAGGCCTGGGCTCCTACTTTTCAAATAACTCTGTAGAGCTGTGCCGCCGATATTTGTTTAGGAGGTATGAGAACAAATCGAACAACAGTTGCAACGAAGTGCGGCAACGCGAACGACGTGTGCGACGTCGCAACTTTTCTTTGCTTCAAATTCAATGAGAAAAACCGTGAATTCAATAATGATGTGTATCGTGTACAGCATAGACACTTTTGGATACAGTTAGAAACTGAGTTCTTATTTCTATCTTTCAAGAAAGCACGGAAGTCCTTCTCAAGCGACAAAATTCAAACACTTCGAATTCATTCAGAACTTTGGGTATCGATCTTATCTGACATGCTGATTACAGATGTAGCACACAGTCTGGGAAATAAGGTCCCTTTGTTGGCTAACGGCTAAAAGTACCCTCTTTTTCGCCGCGCGCGATTTCGCGGTCCGAAACGTGTTAAAAGAAAGCTTCATACCCTAGAACTCCAGATACCTGGATTTCCGCTGTCTACCTATCTGCAAGTATTCCTACTATCCTTCACTATGAACACATTAAACAGGAGCGAGAAGCTGGATATAACCCGCATGGCCGCATTTTCCAGCTTTTTGTATTCCTCTAATGGCCTCTAGCGTCCGATCGTCTTTTCTTCAAAGTCATTTTTCTTCCTTTGAAGTTAACGAAAATCCTCCAAAGTTGTACTGATTGTTTGACTCAACAGTGCTGAGCATGTTGCTGCAAGAACGAAGGAGTTTCCAAATCGAAATTTTCGATAAACTCCAACTTTCGACTTGTGGTTCATCTCAAATTACATGACTGCAACACATAGTTTGTTCTTATCAGCAACATGCTTAGCACTGTTGGCTTGGATGATATAAACAACTGGAAGTTTATCGTTAGCTTCGAATAAAGAAAAATGACTTCGGAAAAAAGACGGTCGGCCGCCGGGGATTATCAGGGGTTCATACAAAAAGCTGGAAAATGCGCCTTTGCAACTTCTCACTCCAGGTTAAAATATTCATAATGAAGGATAGCATTACTTAAGGATGGATAGACAGTTGAAAATCCAAACATCTGAGGCGCTAGGATATGAAGCTTTTTTTAAGCTGCGATCCCCCCCTCGGCGAGGACGTTTATGCATGCGGTCCTTGGGACAAAGTTACTTTCCACGAGATCCCCACGTATCCAGAGTCTGACGCTGCCTTTAAGAGCCCCATGGCACGCGCAATCCTCCGCCATGTTTGCCTTTAGGGTGATCACAGTTTGGCTGTACACCTAAAAATAGGGTGGTTATCTCAGGGTTTCGTGTCTGCTGAGATTCTTTTTTGCCTCTGTATACTAGCTTTTCGACACTTTAAGGGCCGCGCGCACTAACATCCCCGCGGGGAGGGGATCGAAGCTTAAAAGAAAGCTTTATAATTCGAAACTCCAGATACCTGGATTTCACGTTGTGTACCTATCCGTAAGTATTCCTACTACCCTTCACTATGAACATGTTGAAGAGGAGCGAGAAGCTGTACGAACCGCATTTTCTAGCTTTTGTATGATCCCTGATGATCCCCGGCGCCTTTCTTCAAAGTCATTTTTCTTTCTCCGAAGTTAACGAAAAACCCCCAAAGTTGTGCAGATTATCTAACCCGACAATGCTAAGCATGTTGCTGATAAGAACAAATGATGTTTTGAAGTCACGAAATTTTCGAAGATCCACAGGTCGAAATTTGAGGTTTACCGAAAAAAATTTTTTCAAAAAAACTCATTTGTTCTCATCAGCAACATGCCACTGTTGTGTTAGATGTTCAGTACAGCTTTGGAAAGTTTTCGCTAACTTCGGAGAAAAAAAATTGACTTCAAAGAAAGGCGCCGGGGATCATCAGGGATCATACAAAAGCTAGAAAATGCGATTCGTACAGCTTCTCGCTCCTCTTCAACATGTTCATAGTGAAGGGTAGTAGGAATACTTACGGATAGGTACACAATGTGAAATCCAGGTATCTGGAGTTTCGAATTATAAAGCTTTCTTTTAAGCTGCGATCCCCTCCCCGCGGGGATGTTAGTGCGTGCGGCCCTAAGAATCATGATAGAATGGTCTTACCCATTTCAGCACCTTGGGGCTTTCCGAATTTTGGGTTCATGCAAATACCCCAATCAATTTCGTTTTTACAATTTGTAGGCCCTATGCATATAGCGCAATCGCATTGAAATAATTGCAACCAAATTAGGAAAGCGTACCTCATATCAATCGTAGCCCGTTCATGGGTAACTGCCCTTTGTCAAAGATCATTGTGGAGTAATTCAACATACTTGGAAGCATGAGAGGGTCTGAAAATAATGAGGTTTGTTTTGTTCGGGATTCATTGCGGTCAGCCATCCGAAGAATGAGATGGAAGATTGGGTATCACTACCACACTACCACCTAACTGCTAATATATTTCAAGGTAGCAAGTGGAAGCTTTTGCAAAGCAGAAGTGACTCTCCTTCCATGACGTACTTGCCACCAAAAACCATCACTGTGATAGTGGTAGTCAAGAACTGAAGTCATACAGGAATTTTTTTTTAGCTCATGGTACACTGAAAAGTTTTAGTGGTTTGGAAAAAGGACTCGGTCATGCGCGTAATCTCTCATCTACCAGAAGAAAAGTAGTGCTTAGACTACACTTTAGATGTCTTGCCACTGTGAATGAGAGAAGCGACAGGGTTCATAAACCGTGCATGGCATATTCTTAAAGCCCTAACCCATGAAAGCCCAACATGCATACTTCATACGCAGATCGGTTCCGTCGTGCATGAAATTGGACATATATTGGGTTTCTGGCATACGCAAGCAAGAATGGATCGTGACCGTTATATTCTCCTTCTGTTGGAAAACATTGAGGTGAGTAAATTTTCTGCATAATGTTTTCGCTTGGTTCAAGAAAGCTTTAAGAGAGATGAGGGCAAAAACTTTCTCATATCGGATAGTACCAAAAACGAAAACTATGGCATTCCATACGACTTTGGAAGTGTAATGCACTACGGATCAAAAATGTATGTCTATTTATTAGGTTCGATAGTAGCTTTGCGACAACGTCCATTGCGTCTCTCACATTGGTGCACTCAATTCTGTCATTCGATAGAGCAATACATTATACGAGATGGTGTCCATTCGCACGAAGTTCATGTAAAATTCGTATTGGAATTTTTCAACGAAACTAGAAGTCGGACACCAATTTAGAATCTGCGGCTCTCAAATCACAGGGTGCAAAAAAATACTGTCTCTCAAAATAAAGGCAAAAAATCGGCGTGATTCCTAGGTTTTTCTGGTGAATTTGACATAAAATCCTAGGATGTGAATGTATTCTAACATTTTACAAAGCTCACTTGAAAATTCTGCAATTTCACGCGGCGGCGGATCCCTTTTCGCAGTGCATCCCTTATCAAATTTTTCTCTACTTTTACAAATGTGAAGGAAGTGGAGTTTTTTGATAAATTTTTTTGCTTCCAATGTGGATTTGAAAAATCTTTTGTTGTTTAAGAAATGTTGTATGTCTTCAAAATATTCTAGAAGTTGCCAGACCGCAGTTTCAATAGGAGAAATTTTAGGAAAATTTTTTACTAAATAGCGTCTGCGGCGCAACAGCGAGCGATGAGAAAGCGTGGCACGGAATCTGTACAATCGGTTATTAACTCGAATTTATGATGTAGACAAAGCTTGATGCTCTTTTTTTCAAACTGGAATTTCGAACCATAGCTTCGATTCAATTTATTGAGCAAGAGCAGATCTAATTAGCCTTTTTTCGTGAATTTTTGGAATTCGCTTACGATATAATTTTCCTTGCTCATCCAAAATTACAAGCCATTCATAGTAAGTACAGAATTTTGGGGAAGAGATTGTGCTCTACATGCTACCTCAATTTGAAATTGATATCACTGGTATAATTACGATCCAAAATTGCTTCCAAACGCTGCGGCGCGTTGTCGATGGTGCCGCTCATTGTTATCGCTCGTTTAAATAAACAGGAGGAAACCGTTCTAGATTAAAATTATCTTAGTCAAATCTACGAAGTCTCGCCTACATGTAAAAATCAAAACTATAGATTTTCTCAATCTGTGAGATGTCTTAGAAGAAAAACTGAGAAACAGTACTTCTTCCGCACCGTATGGGTCGCCAAATAGTAGACTTGTTTACATGCATAGGTACTTGCTGAATTTTTTTCTTTCAAAAAGTCAATCAAAATCAATACCAAAGGCGGACGCAATCCTGAACTCTGGCACATATGCACTTGTCTGCTTGTCCTTAGGAGTTAACAGCAAAGTTATTCCTTTGTTGTGTGTAGCAATAGAAATCAAAGTTTCAGCATAAAACCCGAACAAAGTAAAGAAATGGCATTTCCAACACATCCTTTCGTATGCTTTTAAGTGACTTACAATACCGCTCACATTTTTTGAAAAATAGACGCGAATGTATGGACATGTATGGACATGTACGGACATGTCCATACATCAGCGTCGCGTGGCCATATCTCGTTTCAAAGTGGACGAATTCTGAATCCAAAGCCACCATTCGATTCAGCTCGGCGCGAAGAATCTTCTAATTTATTGGAAGTGGGGATACGATGTTTTCGATATTCCGTTTCCTGATTTGTTCTGCGGAGGTCCTTTCGCGAAAATGTGAAGCAACGCCTACCCAACATAGAAAACTTTACTAACAATAAGTACTATTCGTTAATACTGTTCTTATAGATTATTGTGCGCTAGAAAATAGGCTCAGAATTCTTTCCAAAGGAGATAGAAGCTGGTGAATTTTGGAAAAATCACGCGTTTTTAAATTCTACTCGCCATAACTTCCTTCGAAATAAGTATGTTTTGAATCCGAAAACAGCGCATTGCTCATCCCTTCAAGGCGAATCTTCTCATATACAGCATGTCCTTGATATTTCGATTTCAATATTCTTGAATCTTTCTGAGGACGTCTTTTCGCGAAGGTGTAAAGCAACGAGCATTGTCCCCAGTACATTCCAGCAAGGATCTTTCGATAGCACTTTTTCTGTAGATTATGATGTGCTAAATAGTAGCCGCAGGTTTCTTTTCAAAGGAAATAGAACGGCTGGTGAATTGTGGAAAAATCTGTCGTCCCAAATTCTACTCGCCATATCCGCAGGATACGAAGCTATCTTGCTAAGCAGATTGAGTTTCGAAATCAGCAGATAACCTCCGTGAGCAAGTTTTCCGATATGTTCCGGTTATTCCATTTTTTCTCGTTTTACGCTCCGGAAGCTCGCCGATGGATTTTGGTCAAAATGTTGATGCTCTTGAATTGTAAGGAAACTTCGCTTATAGAGGTTTTCGAACACGCTCTTTACGAAAATCGTGGTCTTTGAAGATATAGGATCTTTTTGGAGAGATACAGTAAGGTGACTGTAACTGCATCACGGAAGCTCGTAGCTTCGCCTCCACCTCTCACGTGTCTGTCAAAGAACCTTCCTGCTTGCTTTACTAGTCAAAGTTACTAGGAGATGTGCTATCGAATAACGCAAGACTCAGGCTCCAGTCTATAAAATTCGCCGAGTTACGAGCCTACGAAAACACGTCCTCATGAATTTTGCCCAAAATGTGAAGATCGCATATTCCGTTGAAATTTCTTCATGAGCGCTTGTACAACGCGCTGATCAAATCCTTCCACATTTTTGATGGATCTTATTGTGTTAGATTTGGTGCTTTGAGCTCTAGCCACGAAATAGCTTTGATATTCAATTGAGCAGCTGAAGCAGACGCAAGCACCATATTCATTACAGTGGGAGTCGTTCGACGAAGCGAACATAATATCTGCAACGAGAGTCATACAAGCGCTCACGGGGGAATTTCGAGAGATATGCGATCTTTACATTTTGGGCAAAATTCATGAGGACGTGTTTTCGTAAGCTCGTAACTCGGCGAATTTCACAGACTGGAGCCTGAGTGATGCACCATTCGATAGCACAGTTCCTAGTAACTTTGACTGAGAAAAGCAAGCAGGCAAGGTTTCTGGCAGATACGCGAGAAGTGCGGCCAAAGTTACGCACTTTCGTGATGCAGTTACAGTCACCTTACTGTATCTCTCCAAAAAGATCCTATAATCCTCAAAGACCATGATTTTTGTAAAGAGCGTGTTCGAAGACCTCTATAAGCGAAGTTTCCTTACAATTCAAGAGTATCAACATTTTGACCAAAATCCATCGGCGAGCTTCCGGAGCATAAAACGAGAAGAAATAAAATAACCCGAACATATCGAAAAACTTGCCCGTAGAGATTATGCGACCTGCTGATTTCGAAACTCACATCTGCTTAGCAAGATAGCTTCGTATCCTGCGAATATGGCGAGAGAATTTGGGACGACAGATTTTTCCACAATTCACCAGCCGTTCTATTTCCTTTGAAAAGAAACCTGCGGTTACTATTTAGCACATCATAATCTACAGAAAAAGTGCTATCGAAGGATCCTTGCTGGAATGTACTGGGGACAATGCTTGCTGCTTTACACCTTCGCGAAAAGACGTCCTCAGAAAGATTCAAGAATATTGAAATCGAAATATCGGGGACATGCTGTATATGAGAAGATTCGCCTTGAAGGGATGAGCAACGCGCTGTTTTCGGATTCAAAATATACTTATTTCGAAGGAAGTTATGGCGAGTAGAATTTAAAAACGCGTGATTTTTCCAAAATTCACCAACGCTTCTATCTCCTTTGAAAAGAATTCTGAGCCTATTTTCTAGCGCACAATAATCCATAAGAACAGTATTAACGAATAGTACTTATTGTTAGTAAAGTTTTCTATGTTGGGTAGGCGTTGCTTCACATATTCGCGAAAGGACCTCCGCAGAACAAATCGAAAAAACAGGAAACGGAATATCGAAAACATCGTACCCCCACTTCCAATATATCAGAAGATTCTTCGCGCCGAGCTGAATCGAATGGTGCTTTGGATTCAGAATTTGTCCACTCTGAAGCGAGATATGGCCACGCGACACTGATGTATGGACATGTCCATACATGTACGGACATGTACGGACATGTACGGACATGTCCATACATGTACGGACATGTACGGACATGTACGGACATGTCCATACATGTCCATACATTCGCGTCTATTTTTCAAAAAATGTGAGCGGTATTGTATACATGATCATATTTGTCGGAGAACCTTTCAGATGGAAACTAGTTCCCAAAGACTTTTGAATTTTAGCTTCACTTACAGTGAACTTTCATGCACTTTCTATGCCTTGCTCTCTAAGGGCCAATGATTGCATTTGATACAACAAGATCGAAGTTATGGACGTAGTCTCGATTCTTAGTTTACAGCGTTATACATTGTATCGCAGAAAACGATTCTATTGCAGGTTCTCAGTTAATGATAATCATACGATGTTCCCTATTGATGAGAGATATATCGACACTATGGGCTCGCCATTCATTTCATTCTACGACTTGCTTATGATGAATATTCTTTACGATTGTCTTGGTATGTAAGAGGAGGATTCGACAGGAAAGCAACATTATGACAATGCGAATCCATTTAGGTAAATGTAAGCATAATCCCAGAACGGCAAAATGCAAAATGGGCGGTTTCCCAAATCCGAGAGATTGCACAAAATGTGTCTGTCCGGGAGGATATGGGGGGCGGCTATGCGACGAACGAGTAGGTCTCCTTTCAAGATTCGAACTGATCCATCCCACGAGATTTTCAGCCAGCTGGTTGCGGAAAAGTGTTACAAGCCACCACCACTTACCAGGAGTTGAATGACACCATAGGTGATAATAATATATATCTCTCAAACCAAGCGGATGATTATAAAATGTGCCATTATTGGATACAGGTTCTGATCAATTAGGTTATCCTTCGAGTGAGAAACAACTGCTTTTTTGCAGGCTCCTAAAGGGAGGAAAGTTGAAGTAAGGATTAAGCATTTTTCTCACAGAAATGTTGTTATTGATGGATGCTTCATTGCGGGATTTGAGATCAAATCACAAAGAGACCAAGGCATGACTGGATATAGGTGAGCGTTTGCTACTCTTTTATTCATATTAGCTGGCTTACCCGGCTCCGCACGGCAATGTCAAAACACTGTAATAAAAGTCCCATCCCTATCCCTATACAGCCTTTCACTGTGCCCACTTTTACACTTCATTTCCCGTTCCCTGTGTTGTTTTCGAGATCAGCATGCCCACTTACCCCCCTGTGCTAACTCCCAGCCTTCCAGCTGAATTTTGAGAAAATCGATAAAATCGATAAAAGTAATAGGTAATACCAAAAGCTGATATTGTGTTCGTAATCAGCATTCTCGATTACCCCTGTGCCAAATCCTAGCCCCGTAGGTGAACTCTGCGAAAAGAGATCGTTGAAATTTGATAAAATCGATATCGATCGATGACGAAAAGTAGCCTATGACACCCGCCGCGCCCCGTAGTGTATGTGTGCCAAGTTTGGCCCGGACCGGCTCAAAATGGAATTTTCTATTCGGAACACACGTACAGACAGACATACAGACATACAAACAGACATTCAGCTTTATATATAAGATGCTATACTGATGAATAAGTAGCGTAGTGATACATGCTGTAATCACATGTAATGCTAGAAAACTTGTGCTAAGATCTGTTCAATTTAGGTACTGCTCTCCTGCTTATATAGGGAAGTACTTTGTTTCACATAACAACCTCCTGCCTATTATTACATGGAGCAAAGCTTGGGCAGTCACTGTTTCCTTGGTTTACAAATACAGTAAGCCTTCACAAACTTCACTCTGTTCCTTTTCATGAGAAAACTGATTTCAGTCTGAACTCTGCATACCAAGAATCGTCGTTGGTAAAGCTAGTTCAATAAAATGTTACTTTGCAAATGTCTGCGACAAACAACAAAAACAGTTTTGTGCGTGACAGCTATTGCTCAACTACAGCTCAAGAGAACTTGAGAATAAGAACAACTGAATACGACAAATTATCAATGTATCAATTATCAATTATCGCATGTCGATTAGTTTTAGTTCAGACCATTAGATGAAATTACGTCACCGCTACACCACAGTGTGTTGTTACTGGCAGATACTGACACTTTGTCATCCAGGGTGAAGAACATGTATGAGAACATACAAAGTGCAACAATACTCTATTTTCTACCACACGACGAAGGCAAAGTATTCTATTTTACTTCCAGTGGCGCCATCTCCAGCGGCTCGAATTCCGAGCGACCGCCTCGCTTGGACTCTGCGTCGCGTTTGCAAACGCTCGCTAGTCATTCATAAGCGAAAAGGCTTAGAGGAAAGCTTCAATCACTATTTATTCATGAAAAATTACTAGGTGACACGTTCGCGAACGCGATGCAGAACCAAGCCGCTCGACGTCACTGACAATGAAAAGAAGATATAACCAGGGTCAAGCGTGGTGTGTGGCATGCCACGCCTGGGGGTCGTACTGAGGGGTCGGGGAGGGGGGGGGGGGGGCGTTATCCAGGCGATCGTTAGCGATAGCATGATAGTCGTGAACAATGTCAGATAGTCCCATTATGCAACGTCGCATACGTGCTGTAATCATAGTAAAAGAGGCTCAAAGGCGTAAAAGCATCATTTCCGTAATTAGCATGTCAAATAACCCATGTGGGCCAAGTTTTAGCGCATTCTAAGGTTTCCAATTATTGGTCCATCCAAGTGAAGTGATCATTTTCAAACATGTTACCTTAATTTCAAAGGTGAGTTAATTGCTTCTCTTTCCACTTCAAGCAAAGAACAATAACTTCTTGCTCACATCAAGAATTGCACTTCGAATAACCTTAATGTTATGGAATTGAGAGCAAGCCAAATTCGCGTTTGTTCCATTTTCCGCAATATCTCAAACTAGAAAAGACCAGTTAGGTTCAAATCCCTTTTATGTGAATTATGAGACTTAGGCTATTGAATATGTTATGGATGGATGTTATGGAATTGAGAGCAAGCCAAATTCGCGTTTGTTCCATTTTCCGCAATAGCCTAAGTCTCATAATTCACATAAAAGGGATTTGAACCTAACTGGTCTTTTCTAGTCTGAGATATTGCGGAAAATATGTTATCATATGTTTATCCTTGGTGCCTTCTTTCGCGATTTACGTAGTAGCGCAGGCTAGGCATGTCACCGTAACCCAATGTTTTCGCAGCATCTCACATTTGCATAAGTAAGGGAAAACGGCAATATCTCCCCCTAGAAGAAATAATTTGAAATGAAATTCTTGTTATGTAAAGAAGAAGGCTGGGCAATAGCAACGATATAAAAAACGCAGATATTTGAATGGTTTGTAGGTAAATTAATGGGGTGTGGTGCATCTTCTAAAAGGGTGTGGCAGCTATAGCTTTTCTGAGGTTGTGCCACACCCCATCAAATACTTCCAAAGAGAATTTTAGGAAACAAATTATTTACAGGTCGATAGCCAAAATCTCGTAGTTTTTGTAGAACTGATTGGAGCTGGATTTGTTTTTTTTCGTTTGTTTGAGCAAGTTGCTGGAAGCACAACCAGTGTAAGCGAAAAATAGGACAAGCGAGATTTTAACTGGCTCCTAATGCCATAGTTGGATGGTTATTTGAACCAGGATTCATGGTATGGCAATCGGGGAGTAGTGCTTCGTACTGAGTACAAAAAAGATAGCTAATTCACTTTTGAAGTATAGTTAATCATGTTTGAAAATGGGCACTTCTCTTGAGTGGCCCAATATTGGGAAAATCTCATCCGCTGAAACTTTTGCCACAGGGGTTATTTGACATGAAGATCAGGATTATATTACTGATTATGTTTGGTAAAGTCTTTTTGTTATACCTACGGTAGCCATGAGAATTGGGGGAGGAGGGGGGGGGTATCGAGGCAGAACTTAGAGGAAGGTCGTATTCTGCGTTTGTGTGCCACACCTCTTGCTCGACCGTGGATATAACTTTTATTTCGTGCGCATAAATAGTTACGCACGAGCGTCTATCTCGCAATGGAGCAAAGGTACACGTTTAGTTGCTGCCATGAAGTAATCTGGCATCGGTGCTTTTTTGCTTCGAAACTTTTTCGAGGCTTTTTCAATTCTCTGTTGTTTATCTCTTTCAATATTCAATAAACATCGAGGTATTTTCAATACTCGAATGACTTCGCCTCCTCAACATCAGTGGCTCGGCAGAACTGAACAACATCTTGCGTTTTGGTGTAATAGTGCTTATTCCTCAGATATGACGTGCCCGCGCTGCCGAGAAACTTGCCGTCAAATCCGTACGCGCAAGCCAGCTGTGTTCGCGCTCGGACAAATCGCAAGTCGCGACCTCCCGTCGTTGAAGGCGGTGTGCCGCTATGTTATAACGATAAAAGTCTCGGAGCCCATTCTGCGTTCCAACTTTGGCGGGGGACTGGTCCGCTCGTCCAAATTCAAAATGAAGGGCCTTAGAAACTGCTTGTTTGCGTCATTTTCATCCTCTCCAATGTGGATTTTCCTGATCAGCGCCACGGACAGATCCTATATAACGATTTGGGTTAATGTTGAGCCACTGCCTTTAGGGGCCTCATTACTTTCCGATTTGGACTCATATGCCCCAGGCGCAATGTCTATGCAAATCTGGATTCGCGTGCTTATTGCTGCTGCACAGATGCTTCGTCACTGCCGACAAATGCGTCTCCAAATCCGCCGCTCATTCAAGACAGACCCTGACGCGTCCCTCGTGATGGGTCCATGCTATACTTTGGACCGAATCGAATAAATATTTGACTATTCGAATAAATTTTATTCGAAATTCGATTATTCGAAATCTGTCAAATTCGAATTTATTCGATTATTCGATCATTCGAAAATTCTGATTTTCGAAAATATTCGAACATCCGAATATTTATTTTCGGAAGTTATTCGATTATTCGACACTTTCGCGTAATTGAATAATTACATGACAGCGTCACAATTTTGACTGCTATATCAGCAACCATGTTTGTTGTCCAAGTTGTCCACTGCATGGAGTCCTTCAATGTGCTAATTCGTTTAAAATTTGTTTGAATATTCGACATAATCGATGCAAAATTATTCGTTTATTCGGACTTTTTTCTCAAATATATTCGACTATTCAGTTTTTTTTTCATTTCGAATATATTCGATATTCAATTATTCGACGATTTTCTTACTTTGAAAGTATCCGATGTTCGATTATTCGACATTCGTGTTTTTCAAAAATACTCGATATTCGAATTTTCGACATTTTTTGTTTTTGAAAATATTCGACATATAGAGGAATCCACCTAAACCTTTGATGGATCCTATAGAGTACAGTAGTGTAGCCTTGCTAGACAGCAGTAGCCTTGCTTCTATGTTGCTATACGACCAACACGATAGTGGCTATAGTCGTTTATCCGATACAGGTAGATTTATAAGAGACAAGTGGTGGGGAGCTTGGCGACGACTTAGAGTGAGAATGAGACACAAAATGAACTACCTCTCAAAAATGGTATGCTTATATACAATCTTAAGTAAACAACCAATTCAACATAAATACATTTTTATATACAGCAAATATGTATCGGTCATCGCAATCTGCGATACGAAATTCGATTATTCTATTTTTGATTTTCGAATATATTCGGTTATTCGATTATTCGAAAAAATTCTCGAATATCCCAAAGTATAGTCCACGCGCGAAAGTAATGCTGAACAAAGCAATCGGTCGGGAGACAGTCTTTTCGCACGGGCGGTCTCCGATGAGCCCTGATTTTGACTTGTCTCAACACGTCACGCACGCCGTAGATGTTCCCTCACCCGTTTTTCTTAGGCAAAAGCCGTTGAGCGTCGGGTTAAGTTGGGTCAGCCCTGGTCACTAATAACACTTGTCCGAAGGGAATCGGGGCTTTCGGTTGAGCCTTTCACCTACCATACTCGGAGAACGATTTGACCACCCTAGAGGAGACAGAGATCTCATCCAGGCGGAAAATACTTTACGACTAATTTGATTTACATCGTAATTCTGTTTTTACATCTACATTCAGTTTTTGTTGATTGGCGCACCTTTGAGTGTATAACATAACTAAATAAATAAATAAGTAATATGTGTCCTACACACAAGGTGCACTTTGTCGTTCCCATCCTGGATCTCTGGTCGAGGAAAAGCAGGAAATCGACCGATTTTTACCGCTCAAATTACTACTAGGAAAATATACCTGAAAAAGCAGAAAACGTGAGGAAAACTCCATAAACCTTCACCAGGAGCGGTTCTGCATGAAAAATCCAAGATAAAATTGGTAAAACGGACAATGGTGCAACTACACATATAATCGTACGCGACTCGACTGTACTGTAGAAGAAACTCTTATTTGAAACCTTGCCTGGACGGAGTGCAAGGTACGTTAGCATCGACCGTTGAGGTGACATACTTCGATCCAGCTAAGCAGAAAAGTACCAAGGGAAGGTCATCAGCAAGAAGCATGTGATATGCAGGGTGCCCCAAAAGTATGTATACACTGCTTGATCGTTAATATCTCTCTTTCCAACAAGTCTTTCGCCTGCCTTCAAGTGCCATTTTGTAGTAGGCTTCAACTTAGATTCATAGTACAAAGCAAACCAACTATCTTCATTCTACTGTAGGATTACGGTAAAAACTTCAAGAAGGGTTTTGAGCTGTCCAATGGCCCTATTTCGCCTCAGAAAGCAAACGAAACAACCTGTAAACTCTTACACTAGGCTTATTAAAGTGGCCAAAACAAAATATGAACTTTGCATTTGACCGCGATGCTTCTTTCATGACCTTTGCTCCGTCAACCGTAATAGCTGTTTTTACTAAGCTTCCTACAATTGCAATCACCCTTTGAAAAGCTTTACAAATTCCTAGAAAGTTGAGTAATGAAATCATCGCACGTAGAATCCCTGGTACACCACTTTTTGAAACCTTTGGAAACTTTTTCTGAAACACGACTATCTACAATGATGCTGTAAGCCAAAAGTTCCTACCTTAATCCCACAGTAGCGAAGAGCGATCGGTGGTTCGTTAACTTGTAAATCTCAGTTGAAGCCAGCTCTACAAATGGTACCTTGAGGTGGGAAAAGACTCCTTGGAGAAAGAGATATTAACGATCAAACAGTGTATGCATACTTTTGGGATACTCTGTATGCTTACAAGGAATGCGTTTTTGGTCAAATGGTCTTTCCGGATGAGCTTCATGCCGTTGTGTAGAGGATCAGATGCTGTCCAAATCCGTCCTTGTCATCTGCTACGCGCCTGTGGACGCCAAGTTTTGAGTGTTTTCGGATCAAAAAATGATCGCATAATCTGTATAAAATCAGACGTTACGGTACCTCCAACGCTCAAATGGAGCAGTGGCGAGTGCAGTATATTAGCCAGAAAGTAACCATTGCATAAAATGTTCATGATACTCAACGTGGCCGAACTGAGAGGTGTTGGATGAATTTACTTTAGTTGCGCATCCATTTTTTTCAACCGAAAAACGTTCATAGGTCTACTACAGAAGCGTACAGCATATATCGCAGATAGATTGGATTCAGCGCTCAAGATCCTCAATGATGTATAGCTCTCATCTGAGAGGCCACTTCGACTAAAAATTTTCTTGTTAGAAAAAAGCTTGCAGAGGTTTCTCAAGAACGGGCATACTTCAAGCGATTTCAATCGCGATGCGATCTGGCAATATTCCAGGTGTCCATAACTCAGTAAGCACACTATAAATGTACAGAAGATAGGGCATCTCATCAGTTTACGTAAGTTATACACACTATGTACAGTCGAGTAGATTTTCTGCTTAATATAGTGTGCTTGCACAGTTTATGAAATGCGGTAAAATTTGCGCGTGAACAGGTAGCTGCGCCAGCACTGCCGGCATTTTGCGCGCGCAATTGGCTGGCGTCACAGTCGAAGCTATTTCCTCACGAGCAAATTTTACCGCATTTCACCTTCTGTGCAAGCACACTATATTAAGCAGAAAATCTACTCGACTGTATGTGCAGTTTGCTAATGTTGGATCCGAAGACCTCTGGCGAATTGCCAAATCGCGTCGCGACTGAAATCGCGTGAAGTATGTCCAGCCCCTTAAAGTCCCTTCAAAGGTCTGCTAAGAAAAACTTAATTCTTCTTTTCGAAGTCCATTAAGATTTTTTGGATAAGAAAAACTTTTCTAAACGTGTTCAAAATAGCAGAAATTATTCATTCTGCCAGGAAGTTGGCTACGACTGACCGAATCTATGATGAATCAGCAATTTTGTGATACTCTATCATGATTATTTGACGACTGCAGTGGTAAGTCGAAAAAAATGGAAAAAGTTTGGAAGTAATTTATTTGGTTTAGAGTACATGCAATTTGTTAGAAGAAAATTTGTGATAATAAGTAAAGCACAGCTTCACAAGCATAAACTTTGAGCCTCGTCTACGAAGGTATACATGCAGTCTGCAGCTGATATACCTCAATATACAGACCGTATGCAACTATAATCCATGAGTTGTCATCGCTTCTCCAAAGAAACTTACTCCTTCTATCAGTACGGTGGCATTATGAAAGTATCGTTGAAGGGAAGACCCTGCTTGTAAAGCTGAATCAACTTTTGCAAGTGTTTGTGCTCGTCCACTCGTTCAAAAACTGTCGGAGCTGAGAAGAGGATGCCTGCAATGGAAAGTATCGAGAGTACCTTGAAGTAGATCTAATGGAAATTCTGTGGAAAAAGTGTGGAAAAAAATGAAAATCGAAAGGATAGGTGCTGAGTGTCTTCCAATGAAGGAGGATAACTTGGTCGAAGTGGCGATCGAAAAGATAGTATATAGCGGTAAAGAGCTTCGAACGCTGATCTCACGTATATTTCCATACCTGCGACACATCTTCCTAAAAATTTATGGGCTTTTCTTGCAATGTGCATACATGTTGAGCTGCACAATAACGGTGTTTTCCACAAAGCAGGAAGCTCAAACAAATCTAATAAGCATCGTAAGTTATGCCATCTGAAACTTCGAGTGTTTTTAGATCAGCTGATTCCATAGGCAGTCGTTATCTTTCTGGCTACTCTTTCATTACGAGTACGAAGAAATCTATAACTGCCTCCAGCAAGAAAGCCCATAACTTCCTTCGGAGAGCTCTTCGCAGATACAGAACATATAGAACGTATACAGGGTGTCCGTAAAGTATGTATGCACTGTTTGATCGTATCTCCGTTCCCAGGGGGTCTTTTGCCGAGCTTTGAGCACCATACTGTAGAGCTGGCTTCAACTTAGATTTACAGTATGGAGCGAATCGCCGGTCTCCTCTCATTACTGTAGGATTACGGTAGGAACTTCAAAGAGGGTTTTGAGCCATGAAAGGCCATATTTTGCCTCAGAAAGGAAACAAAACAGCCTGGAAACTTTTACACTGGGCTAATTAGAGTTGCTGATTCTAATTGTGAAGTTCTCAACTTATTATGATGCTTCATTGAAGAGTTATGCCAGGTAAGAGGTAGCGGCCATTTTTTCAATGTCCCTAAAAAGTGCGTTTACACCGTTTAGAAAGCTTCGCAATCTTGTGAATAGTTGAGTATTGAACTCAGCGTCCATAAAAACCCTATTGCACAAGTTTTCATATTTTTTTGAAAAATTTTGAAACGACAGCTTTTTCCACATTGACACCATATGTTTCAAGTTTCTACCGTAATCCTACAGTAACAGTGAGTAATGCTGATTCGCTCTATACTGTAAATCTAAGTTGAAGCCAGCTCTACAGTATGGTGCTTAAAGCTCGGCAAAAGACCCCCTGGGAACGGAGATATTAACGATCAAACAGTGCATACATACTTTACGGACACCCTGTATTTGAGATCAGCGTTTTGAGCTCTAGCGTATGTATCATTTTCCAGACTCCCACTTCCACAAAGTGATTTTACCTTGTAAATGCTTTTCTGCAAGAAGTTATGAGAGTTTACTGAGAAGAAGATTTCGGCCCGGTGCAAAAATCATGTCAAAACTTTTTGAATCCCCTGCAGATACGGCAGAATAAAGATAAAACAGTAGGCCCGTAGTAAACCTCACTTCGATGCAACTCGGCTGGGGCTGGCCAAAGTTAAATAGTACGTCTCAGCCCGGCATCCGGTAAGCATTGATCCGATGCGGATCACTTAGACGTAAGGATCTTAAGGATCTGTGATCGTTCTCAAAAAAGCAGTTGAGCATGTTTTGTCGGGCGGCTAAGTGATTGGAATTCAACGCGCGAAGCCATGGTTCGAGGCTCGCTAGCAGTGAATTTTGCGACATCGGCGGGAAATCTTTGATAGCGACCACTATAAAAAAAATCGATGTTGACGCTATCATATATCATCTGATAAACAAGTGATAAAACAAAAAAACATTCAAAAATTTCATGAAAAAGTTTTTGGAACATAAATAGAGTAAATAAATAGATAGATTCTCGTTTAATGCAGCTTTTCAAAAAAAGTAAGCCATCTTTGCAGAAAGAAAAATTTTTTTTCCTCGCTATTCTCGCCGCAATCAGCTGTTCATTGATCCTCTCCCACTTTGCTCCCAAAATGGTGCAATTTTGAGAGTTTTGCACAGCAACAATACGTCGACTGAGGTACCCCATAAGTTACTCACCAGCAACCTAAGGGACTTTTTTCTAATTCTCCGCCTAAGAACACTATCTACAGCAGTTCACCCCCCCCCCCCCTAATCTACCCTTAACTTATGGTAGAGCGGCAACGTCGCTTCCGCAGTTGAGCGGCCAACTTGGTTAACTGCCAGTCCAAGTGTTCACTCTCAAGCATGGAAAGGTGGGCGGTCGTAATCTGTCGGGACGCAGCTATTACCCAACAGCTGCTCGCGATGGAGGTTGGCCTAAGATAACGAACCTCTAGCAGTGACCTCCGCCCGCCGGCAGGAGCCGGTGCTCTCTTCCCCTTTCCCTTTCCCCTTCTGTATATATCTTGTATAATAAATATTAGAGTAAGACTTATGTAAACCCGCTACACCATCAGGTAAAGGAGTAGCTAGCCTTTATCCTGACATGGAAGTCCCAGGGAGATATCTTTTAGAATTCTAAGACCAAATTTTTTTCAAAGAACTTTTGATATGAGATGAAAATTTCAATTCCCCCTCCCCCCTCTACAACCGTCCGACCGTATGGAAGGAGTCGCTCACCAACGAATGAGAGAGAGTGTGTGAGTTTTATACTATTCTATTTACATATTTATCAATAATTCTACAAATATCTAATCATTTCAGAAAAAAAATGAAATAAAGTAAAAATATACAGTCCTGCGAACAGTCCCATTATGTCAACTTTCGCTTAGTAAATTACCGGGATCCGTGAATATCTAGATAAAATAGCCGAGCCGTGAATCCGTGATTGCCGTGATTTTTTTTGGAAAAAAGCTTATCCGTGACTTTTTTGGTAAAAATACATGTCCGTGATTCCGTGATCCGTGAGCCGTGATCCGTGAATATCTAGATAAAATACCGCGAGCCGTGATTTTATTATTTTTGCAACCGTGATCCGTGATCATCAATTGATATATTTTTTTTTCTTCTTCTTCAATAAGACAATGGACTTGTTCGCATTCGCTAGCATAAAAATTACAGATCTGAGTTAATTTCGATCCAGTTAACTACTGGCCCTTTACAGATAATCCTCTGATGGGAAAAGTCGATAATTAGAGTCGCTAGTGATATAGCGCAAATGCTTTGACCTTCTAGGCATTATAACAGAACGAGTGCTACTGCCCGAGCGTGTTGACCTTTTCTGGTGATAAAGTAGCGCAGCAGCTTGTCAGTGGTGTAAGCATTTGACCTCGCCGCAGACTAATAATATTTGCGCGCCACGGTCTCGCAAATGCATTAATTGCGCATAGTGACCTTTTATTGTGATAAGGGTTTAGCAACAAACAATCGTGACCGTTATCTGCCGCATCGTCTACTCTTAAGTAATCTGGTTTAATACACTAGTTACCTAGGGGGCATTACTATCTCAAGTCGTAAAAATAAGCATCCATCTGAAAAAGATAGTAACAATGATGATCTTCAGATCAACGAAACTACTTCTTGAAAAAAAACTTATTTTTCCAACTTTTGATGAAGTACCACTCTGCTTTTGTCATCCATGATGGTGATTAGGTCCCTATAAAGGTCCTTTACTATTCGCATCAAATTTGTTTCTGGCATAGCTCCAAAAAGCGACCATACAGTGTCGCATTGCAAAAGAGAAACGAAATATAGCTCCAGATTGAATAAATGTTACGGAACGTTCAGTCGGACCTAGCACGCAAGTCAACTTCTATCATAATTTTTGCAAAGAAAGGATCTAGTAAAGATCAATGACCTTTCACTGGTCTTCGCTTGCAATTACAAAAAAAAATTTTGGAATAGAGTTGACCTCTCATGTGCGCATTTTTTTCCAATCTAGAGTGCAGCATCTGGGTGTACTATTCAGCAAAAAGAGTACACGCCCTAACCACAAAAAGAAAGGTCGAAAGTATAGCTAATATAATTCCGCGCCCCGCGCACAGTAGCACTAAAATCATTCTTAGGTCCCATCGTACTTTCGAAGATTTACGCACGTTTTGCCTTAATTGCCATCCATTAACCACTCTTCCCAAAAATGTTGAGTTTATTTGGAAGGAGGAACATCAGCATTTGAAACATTAAAACAAGCCCTAGTGGATGCGCGTGTTTTAGTGCTCCTATTTTAGGAAATTTTTAAACATCCACACCGACGATGCATCTGCACTCGGTTTCGTCGCATGCCTCCTACAAGTCTAACCGGTGGCTAGTAGTGAATTTCATCTCAAAAAAAAAGGCATCCGCTTTCTTACCAAGCACGAAAAAAAAAGATTATGTGGTATCAGAAGCACTAACACTTGTTGCTAACAGCATAATCATCTCTGTTACAGCTTCTATCACTTTAGTCGTTGATGATGCTGAATTAAAAACCTCAAGCATCCGTCAGATTCCGTGCCCGCCATACTAGCCAATGGAGAATACTCATCAGCTTTTTAGAGTTAACCATGACGATTCTGTTAACCTCAACCATAGGGAACAGATAGCATGACTCAAAGTTAGATGATATTCAGCTTCTGCTTAAGGCGAAAAAAAAATCCAGTAGTCTTTGTCCTTCGAATCTAAAGTCACAAAAGCGCGCTATAAAATACGTAAATAACTGCATTTTAACATATGCGAATGAAAAAAAAAGCAACAGAGCTTGCTTTATAAATGCAACCCCAATCGCGTTGGATACTCCGTTAGATCATGAATTTTTGACGCTTAAACTTGAAGTTTTCGAATTAGCTCAAATTTTGAAGTGAGATTTATACCTTGTTATCACATCTTTCTGCTGTAACAATTTTCCTACGATCCATAGAAGAAATTCTAATATAGTTCTTCAGCTCGAAAATAAACCTTAGAATTACAAAAAAAAAATTTTTTTTTTGGAATTCACCTTTCTCTCAGCAGGTAAGAAACTAAGAAAAAAATCTTCAAACTCTAAATTTCAGAAGTAATCTACAACGTATTTGTATACGTTATAGTCCTCATTTTTTTGCTCCTACTACTCGCACTTGAGAAGATGTTTCAAACTATCTTTTGATACCGGACACCCTTCAATACGCATTGCAAGAAGTTTTTTTTTCTCTCAATGAAGATAGCTCTGAT